CATATTAGTAGTAGTATTATAGTCCCAAAAAGATAGACCAATTTAAAAGCAAGCAAAAGCTACGTCAATTTAGATACTACTCTTCGTTTTTAAAGTCGGTTAATTATAATAATTATGCAGAACATAATGATAAAACTGGAATATTCCTAAGAAATTTATTAGAATTTTAGGTACAGACGTAAATTATATGTAAATATCGATAAAACGTTGTAAAGCTTTGTTTGAATACATTTTGTATGTTATTAAATTGATTTCAATTTCATATCTCTTTGTCTCTAATTACATTTATAGTATATTGATAATACATTTATATAATAACACTCATTCCTATCACTGCAGTGATAACAAGTTGAATGAAATGCTCGACTAAACTAGCTATTGAGGGGTCATTGGTCAAATCAGCAACTAGATGATAAACAATTAGACAAGTGCGAGTCATACTCAAGCATCGAGGGTTCCGTACCGCCAAATATTTAATCTATATAAATAAAAATAGTAAATATACATACAGTAAATATGCAAGGACATTAACACACAACACCATCTAGTTCCATGGTAAGTTACGAGGCCTGTGTTATGGATACCAGATAGTTCATACACATATATAATTTTAAATACATACATATTATAAATATAAACACCCATGACTGGAGTACAAACATTCGTGCTCATCACACAAACGAATGTCCCCAGCGGGACTCGAACCCGCGACCGCTGGCGCAGCAAGTAGGGTCACTACAAACTGAGCCAAACATGTCGTCTTTTTTAATTTAATTAATTTCTTAGTTTACTTGGAGGTGATAAAACAGTGTGTAACTGAGCGAAATCGATGTGCGCGTTTCACGCATAAAGTACTGAAATGATTTTAACCAACTTTTGTATAGTGATAAGCTATCACATATAACTTATTACTCGAGTCAACATTTAGGACACCTTAAAAGGTCTGTAGTAAACTACAGAAAAATCTATAATTCCTATGGGAAACAATAACTGGTTCCATCCAGTCGTTTTAGAAATTTACATATCTAACCTTTTTTTTTTTTTTTTTTTTTAAGTCGGGAAATGCATTTACTTATACCACCTGATCCCCCAGGTGGTGATGTGGGGCTCACCGGCTAGAAGAGCCGGTACTACCCACTAAAACCCGACATTCTCCTCCCTTCCGCCTTAATGGGGCGCCGCAGGATCGCTTGCGCATAACTACTACGGCGCCCCGGCGGCAGGTGTGCCTAAACGCTAGGCAGACCACCAAACCGATGGGGCTGCTCCACAGTCAACTCTGCTACGCCAGAGAGGTACCCGGAGCAGCCCCATTAAACATAACCACCACCCACCGAAGTGGGCCACCTCCAATCGGCTGCAGAGGACAGGGAGAGCGGCAACGAAACACCGACACTCCTCTTCCCCTGCAGCCCCACCGCGTCCGCCATCAAACGGTGGCGGCCCCGTTTAGGCCGCGGAAGGTAGGGAGAACGGCGCACCGAAATACCGGCACTCCTCTCCCGCCGCGGCCTACCCCTCCGCCGGATGCGGGCCTGCGACCACAGTCCCGCAACCGGCACCCATCATCCGGTTGTGGGACCAAGCGGTCCCACCACCGGTGGCCGCAACGTCTTCGGCTCGAGTCCTAGACGAGCGGCCCCACCCAAGCCATTTGGTCCGCGCCGGATTTCTCCGGTACCACCCGCCGCCCTAAGCGGGTGGCATTCCCCTATCCGCCACATGGGGACGCGCCCGGTAGGAATTGGCTTCTCCCCCGGGAACATATCTAACCCTGGCTTTATCTTAAGAGATACATCAAAACAATGTACTAGAATATTGTAGGTCTTAAAAAGGCCTACTCGCGGTACTAAGGTACACTCGCGATAACAATTCATATCTATTTAAAACGTACCTATAGACGTACCCGAGCGAAGCTAGGAAAGTCACTAGTTGTAAATAAAAGCTAGATTATTATCAACTTAGAAACATTAAAATAGAAGAAACACATATTTCACTGTAGAGGGATTTTAACAAATTCAACCTCTATGTTATTTTTCTTTCCTGTTCAGTGTTCTATATGTTTACTAGCATTGCCCGCGGCTCCGCCCGCGTTCAGATGACCAAAAACCAAATTCTTAGGTTCTACATATTAGAAACACTTCTCCTACAATGCAGTTTTTGTATTTTTTCTCAGAAATGAGATATTTTTCTGCGGTAAAAAGTATTCTATATGTTGACCCGGATAATCAGCTATGACCATACCCTTCCAGTGGTTTTTCTGTGATGCGGTAACAGACAGACAGACAGACAAAAATTCTAAAAACTATAGATTCGGTCTCTGTATCGATAATAATGTTTATTTCAATAAGATTTTCCAAAAAATATTTTATGTACAGATTCGACTCAGTTAGAATTTTATTATATGTATAGATTAAAATGGGGAAGATTACTGAAAACTTTTAGGCAGAGGGCGCTGTGTATTTGTTACCTGTCAAAAGGCATAAATAAAACCCGTGCATTGTATTAACGAATTTATAAGTTTCTTTCACCGTTTTAACTATTTTTTCTACTTGTTTCCTTGAAATGTTTTCTTCATAACTTCGTATTATCACTTGATTTAAAGTTAACTATTTTCAGTGCTTTTTTCCCATTTCCGTTTTAATTGAATGTTAGTTGGAAACTTATAAACACCAGTTTCTTTACAACCCAAGGCTACACGACGACCCATTTTTTAGTTTTCTATACATATAATAAAATTGTAACCAAGCCGAATCTGTACATTAAATATTTTTTGGAAAATCTTATTGAAATAGACATTATTATCGATACAGAGACCGAATCTATTTTATTTAATATTTGTCTATCTGTCTGTCTGTCTGTCGGTCTGTTACCGCATCACAGAAAAACCACTGGAGGGATTTTGATGAAATTTGATATGGTGATAACTGCTTATCCGGGTCAACATATAGGATACTTTTTACCGCGGAAAAATGTGTCATTTCTGAGAAAAATACAAAAACTGCAATGTAAGAGTATACTAATATATAAAACCTAAGAATTTGGTTTTTGGTCATCTGAACGCGGGCGGAGCCGCGGGCAATGCTAGTTTATAAATAAAACTGTAAAATGTAAGCAGTGTCTATAGAGATTGACAGTACGTTTTTAACAAACATTTGGCGCCCTCTACGCATAATTAATTTACAGTTTTCTTCCCCAATAAAACACCTATCTTTCAGCACTTTTACGCAACCGTATCCCACACTTGGTTGGCACATACGTAGGTTGCGGCCAACTGAGAAAAAACAATCCAAACTTTTTAAACTGTTTTAATATATCTCTTCAAATATATTATTTTTAAAATATTCTTAAAACCTCAAAATTAATACAGACAAAAAATAAAAATTTTCAACTTAAACTACTTCTGCATATATTTTGTGAGGTTATCCACCGTTTAGTACAGAATTCTACTAGTTTATTAATAACTTTGTTCAATACATAAAACAATTTAATTCATATATATAATAAAATTGTAACTAAGCCGAATCTGTACATTAAATATTGTTTGGAAAATCTTATTGAAATAAACATTATTATCGATACAGAGGCCGAATCTATAGTTTTTAGAATTTTTGTCTGTCTGTCTGTTACCGCATCACAGAAAAACCACTTAAGGGATTTTGATGAAATTTGGTATGTTATCAGGGTCAATATATAGGATTACTTTTAACCGCGGGAAAATATCTCATTTCTGAGAAAAAATACAAAAACTGCAATGTAAGAGTATGTAAAACCTATGAATTTTTTAAAAATTTTTGGTCATCTGAACGCGGGCGGAGCCGCGGGCAATGCCAGTTATTAAATAACACATGGACGTAGTAATAACGCGATCGGATCTCGTAATATTGGTGCCATTACCCATTACAAAGTTTATCATTGTTATTGGTAACATTAACTACACACGTTTTCTCCAAGCCTATCTAACTTAAGACCGTCTGTAATTACTTAATATAAAGTCACATGACGAATTACTGCTGTTAATTAGACACGTTTTTATACATTAAATTATTATAATTACATTGATATGACTAATTATAAATTAAAATAAATTTTATTAATTATAATTGGTCTGTTGATATGTTTGTTGCAACTATACAAATCGTAACTTATGAACGAATCAACGAAATTGATACTAATATTATAAATGTGGAAGTGTTTGTTTGTTCGTTTGTTTGTCCTTCTTTCACGTCGAAACGGAGTGACGGATAGGCGTGATTTTTTGTGTGGAGATAGTTGTAGGGCTGGAAAGTAACATAGGCTACTTTTTATCACGGGAAATTATCTCATTCCCACGGTAAAACACGTTATAATACAACCCAAAAAATTATTTATGATCAGAATTACTGGAAACTTGGTGCTCTTCAATACAATTAAATAAATAAATGTTTTAGCATTTTTCGAAATTAATCCCATAAAGGGGTAAAATAGGGGATGAAAGTTTGTAAGAAACCTTTCTTTTTAGTTCTTTTTGTAGTTTTAGCGCGAGCGAAGCCGCGGGTTCTGCTAGTAAATAATATACTCCACTCCACTCGATTGATTTGGACGAACATTTTTTTTCAAGAGACACTAATTGCGCCTATGATCAGCCATTTTGATTTTTAATGATATCATTACCTTTGACACTCGCGTTATCAAGAAGAAACCAACAAAGTATGAATCATCAAAATCGGTTGTTCCATTTAATAATTAGGAGGGAACATATGGTCGGATATACATATGTACATACATACGGGTCTAACATATAACCCTCCTTTGGGCTTCGTCGCAGTCGGGTATGTTAACACCTTGTTTCTTCGACACACGAGTTAGAACTATTAAAAAAAAACAAATTCTCGACGGTACCAAGCCAAATGTTATAATCTAAGGTTTAAAGTTTGTAAAGTTTTAAGCTAAAATAAGAGAGAAGTTTCCAATTTTATATTTTCAGGGAGATTCAATTTTTATATTTTCTTTGTCAACAGGTAGGCGCATATTGTTACGCGGAATTGGGAACGATGATACGTGTAAGCGGTGCAGACTACGCCTACATCATGGAGACGTTTGGTCCCTTCGCTGCCTTCATAAGATTGTGGATAGAGTGCATGATAGTCAGACCGTGTTCGCAGGTTTGTTCATAATTATATTAAAAACTGGCGCCTCCCTAGGTGAGTTTTCATTTTTTTGAGCGGAATCCTAATTGTTTTCCTAAAATAAAAGTAGTCTAAATTACTCCTTATAACATCAGCTATCTGCCAGTGAAAGTTCTGTCAAAATCAGTCTAGCCGTTTCGGGGATCAGCCGGAACAAACAGACAGCCAGACAAAAAAAATAAAAATTGTGTTTTTCTTATAAGTACTGTATTCTCGTAATTTCATATGCATGTGGAAAAAGCTGTTATTTTGACATTACAAACAGACACCTCAATTTTATTTAGCTGTATAGATAATAGTTTTTATTTGAAAACACTTTGATATAACTGGACACTAAACTAGGAAAACCTTAAGAAAATATTAGGGGCTAATGCTCTAATTATTACATGCAATGCGAAATAGATGTATATAATATATATACAATATGTATCAAATAGAGTTATAGAGGAAGACCGAAGAAAAGATGGATAAATTATGTGAGACCAGACATGAAAGAGAAAGGTGTGAATGATGAGATGACGAGTAATAGGGGAGAATGGAAGAGGAAGACTTACTGCGCCGACCCCCAAGTGACTTGGGAAATGGGCAGGAAGAGTTATAAGGAGTTAGACACTTAAGATACTCGTTATATTATTTTTCAGGAAACCTGTGTTATTTTCGGAATTCAAGGTACAAGAGGAGTATACAATTTATTAAGTCTTAAAGAAAATTTACAGATTTTTTTTAAATTCATTGTGCATTTTAAATAATAATCGTAAATATTTCAATTTCTAAAAATTCGCTATCAAAATAAGTATTTATTTATATACACATGTTAAGTAGATTCTGAGAAAATAATAAAACAAATAGTCCAACATACGATTAATGCCTTACGAACCCTGATTTTTACTTTTGAGTTAGGGAACCTAAAAACGGTGCTTAAAATTTATTTTCAACATTCATTTTCAACATTCATTTGTTATAAACCTAATGATAATTTACTGAGCCTTGATACGAATTTTCAAATTCTACGTTAATAATTTCTTAGATATTTAACTTACTTACCAAATTACTAATAAAAAATATTCAGTAATTTATGTCGATAGCCTTTAAGATAACCTTCTACAATCGATATTTAATTGAAATTCATTTTAACCCTTTTTATGCTAATCTGTTTGTTATATATAGGCTATTTGATCATTAATAACTAATTGGGCATGCCCTGACCACGTGATGTCGCCTTTTCCTAAACTTTTTATAGTTTTCTATTAAGTACGAAAATTATTATAAAACATCAAATTGTCTGAGCTTTACAAAAAGCTCACTAAGTTTAACAAAAAGCAAAAATGCTTAACCCATCCAAAAATTACCGTTAAATGGTATAAATTTTCATTTTTTATGATAGTTAAAGAGCTTGCTACTCAAAAGCTCGCCCGTAATGGCTACATATAAACTTCGCCATTCTATGGCTATTTACGTCACTTTATACTTACGGAATCCATTCAAGACTCTAGGGCCGGCTTGAGACGCTCTACGCTAGAGTGACCATATTTTACTTAGAAAAAAATATCGGTATAATTATTTAAAGTGAAATTAATCATGATTTTGGAAACAAATTAATGTATTTATTAGTATACTAACGACTTACCCTTGCTTCACTTGGGAATGTCACTAAGAGTCTGAAGATAATACTTTCTTACTCGTCTCTGAGAAATCTATTTTAAACGTTAAAACGTAAATAGGGACGAACCCGAGTGGAGTGACGAAGAGTCGCGAGCCGTTTAATAGTAGATGCAAATAAATGTTTTGCATTTACTATTAAAATTAAAAAAAGGCCACAAATAAAATATAAATTAAAAATAAACCAATTTCAAAATAGACTTTATGGTAGTCCTATTACGAAGAACATCGCAACACTACCATTTTCAGACTATCTACTAGGTACAGTACGATAAATCACGAGGTTTTATTCAGCTGTTTCATTTTTATATTTCTCAAGAAGATCGTTAATTGTTTTAGTGAAAATCATTGGTAATTTATGACCTTTTGACACATGGTAGGGATACTCGTAGTATCTTTCTTATATCTTAGTTTTACCTTTTCAAAAATTTAAAGATAAAATTAAAAAGATTTTATTGAGCAAAGCATATTACTCTGTTAATAATTATAAATTAAAAATTTTAAAAATCCCCTACGCAAATTAAATTTTATTTAACGATTACACTGGCACACGTGGAGTACTTAATCGAGTAATCATACGTCATAATGCCTCACATCATTTTGGAAAAGAGCTGATACTCTTACACTGCTGGACCTATATTAACTAAACATAGCTAAGAACCACCGCAAGGAAACTGGCTTTCAAATGAAAAAAACCGCATCAAAATCGGTCCATCCGTTTGAGAGCTACGATGCCACAGACAGACACACACACACAACAGACAGACATCGACGTCAAACTTATACCACTTTTGGCGTCAGGGGTTAAAAATGACTTAAATGGAGACGCTAAATGAGGAAAGAAATAGAATATTAACATGTAGAGGATATTTTATTAACGACTTTATAGACATTCTGGAAAACTATAAAGGTTTTGTTAGTTCGATAGAATAGACAGTTTACGACGTAATTGAATATGCAAGAGCTTTTTAGGATGATAAGCATCGACCTTGATACGGTATATGTTGTATATTTTTTTGAAATACATATGTTTATTATTTTTATATTAAACTAGCATTAACCGCGGCTTCGCCTACGTTCAGATGACCAAAAACCAAATTCTTAGGTTTTACACATTAGAATACTCTTACATTGCAGTTTTTTATTTTTTCTCAGAAATGAGATATTTTCTCGCGGTAAAAAGGTATCCTATATGTTGACTCGGATAACCAGCTATCAATCACCATACCAAATTTCATCAAAATTCCTTCAGTGGTTTTTCCGTGATGCGGTAACAGACAGACAGACAGACAGACGGACGGACGAACGGACGGACGGACAGACAGACAGACAGACAGACAGACAAAAATTCTAAAAACGATTGATTCGGCCTCTTTATCGAAAATAATGTCTATTTCAATAAGATTTTCCAAAAAATATTTAATGTACACATTCGGCTTCGTTACGATTTTATTATATTTATAGATTATTTTAGTTTGCAAAACAATTAAATTGTTTAAGCTTAAATTTATTTATTTAGAAATAAATTGTTAATCATTTGTTATAAGTCTAAGTATAACTTCGACTTAATCTCGCTTCGCTTTCGCTAAAGTGCCCAACAGTAGGCTATGTGTTACTCCAGGACATACATATTTCTGGTCGAGTCCCAGCCGCAGCTCTAGCTGTTTCATTATAAAACACACACATACAAACTTTCGCATTTATTATATTATATTTTAGCTTCATTCATCAAAATAATTCAATCCATTATTTTAAAATATAATAATAAGTAATAAATAGGAATCAATAAATATTACCTAATATCGAGGTCAAACACGAATAAGTATTGTGAGCCTAAAAATATTTGGCCTAGATTTGTATCGAACTCGGATTGTTACGTAAACTTAGGCCCGTATAAGCATAATAATAGGATTATCAGAGAATGTCTGTTGGCATTTGGGCAAGTTGTTGAAACTTGAAGATAGTATTATATTTTCATAAAATAAAACCAGGGTGGGTTTCGCTTTAAGTAGTGCAATTCTGTAAGAGCTTTCACGCAAATCGACAGCTGAATCCGTGAACATAATTATACACTTTTTTTATTTATTAGGAAGACAAACAGTATGTTTATTATTTAGTTATATAAATTAAAAAAAAAAAACATTTTATATACACCAATTAGGTTTTCACAGTTTATAGATTCTTAAGGTAGATATAATGCATAATAGTTTATTAAAAACGTGTTAATTACTACAAATTATATAGAATAATGTAATAATGTACAAAAAACATGTAATATTACGAACAAACTATTCTATGTAGTTAAAATTTTGTGAAAGGGAAATAAATGTATGTATATCTAAAACAATCATATAATAAAACTGTAGAGGTCGAATGTCTGTTCATAGAAAAAAAATGCTAAAAACCGAGTCAGGGGGATGTAAGAAGACAAATAGAAAAAATACATATTTTTTCAATTTTTTTGTTTCTCAGTCTGTTTGTCTGTTTGTACGGGCTAATCTCCTGCTCCCTCCTCCTGTTGGACCGATTTAAATGAAATTTTGCACGGTGGTACCTTATATCGCTGGCCAACATATTAGATACTTTTCATCCCGGAAAATTAAAGAGTTCTCGTGGAATAGTTAAAAAACTATAGTAACTTATACAGCTTAGTACACAAAAACTACTGATTGGATTTTAATAAAACTACAATAATACTTATAGTTAATACATCAGAATAACAAATAGGCTACCTTTCATCCCAGAAAAATGTACGGTTCCCGTGGGATAGATTTGTTTTTGTTCATTAAATATTCATATATTTATGGTCATATATTCATTAAATATTCATAAATTTATACATATAATAAAATTCTATTTGAGTCGAATCTTTACATTAAATATTTTTTGGAAAATCTTATTGAAATAGTTATTATTATCGATACAGAGGCCGAATCTATAGTTTTTAGAATTTTTTACTGTCTGTCTGGGAATGCATCACGAAAAAACCACAGGCCAGATTTTGATAAAATTTGGTACGATGTTAGCTGGTTATCAGGGTGAACATATAGGATATTTTTTACTGTGGAAAAATATCTCAATATATTCGTGTATGACATAATATAATCGCGAATTTAGTTGTCGTATGATATGACACAACATTTCTTACAGTATAATGCTACTGGTGCCAACGATATAATGACAGGTATTTTAGTTTAGAGTACTTCGTAATCCCACGGCACTACTTAATGTAATTGGAACTAAAATAGCACACGTGGCTTTCCAGCCTACAAACTGTCTTCAGGCAAAAAAATCCGATCGATTCGTTGCTGCGTGAAAGCAGGTCAAATCAACAAACACGTCATATGCGTTTATAAGATTAGTAATAATATTCATTGACACAGTTGTTAAGATGGTCATCGATTAAAGGAAGATTAGATACATTTTTCGTGTCTTTTCTACCGAATGTCTTCTCCGAATATAAAAGGCTCTTAATAATTGTTTTGTTATTTGTTTAACTTTACTCGTGAAAGTTTATATGTGGGTGTCTATAGGTTTGTTACTCATTTACGCTACACGCGGATATATTATAACCTGGAGTATCTGCATCTAGGGATGCACCAGAGCAAAGTGACGGTGCAAAAACAAAACATATTATGGCTTTATGAAACTATAATACTTCACTAAATGCACAAAAAGAACTGGTAATCAGTAATCACCGATAACTAATAAGAACTATATTTTATCAATCCTTCTAGTAGCGAGAAGTATAACTTCTTACGTGCGTACCTACTTAAGTACACACACACTTTTTTTCTTTACTTGCGACTCACCCTCGTCTGGCTCTGGTTCGTCCCTAGGTTGAATCCCCATATGCACCCTCTTAAGGGTTGATTTCCGGGATAAAAAGTATCCTATATCCTTCCCAAGGTCTCAAACTATCTTCTTACCAAATTTCATCTAAAATGGTTCAGTAGATCCAGATATTACCCCCTACAACGTCACAAATTCACAAACTTTACCTCTTTATAATATTAGTATAGATAAATAAATATGGTGGGACATTAACACACAGCACCATCTAGTTCCGTGGTAAGCTACGAGACCTGTGTTATGGATACCAGATAGTTGATACGCTACACATATATAATTTTAAATACATACATATTATAAATATAAACAGCCATGACTGGAGTACAAATATTCGTGCTCATTACACAAATGAATGCTCCCAGCGAGGCTTAAACCTGCGACCGCTGGTACAGCAAGTAGGGTTACTACAAACTGAGCCAAACGTGTGCTCAAGTAAAATAAGAATAAATGGCGCCCAGCATGGGACAAATTCAATCGATGTTTTCAATATTTCTCGTTTAACCTATATACGTATAGCTTTTGTTTACGTTCAATAAGGCGAGTTAAAGGCTCTATTGCTTCCCATTTATTCTGAGTAACAATATTATTGACGCCCTACGTGGGGCAATATTGAATCCATCTAAGTCTTTATTGATTATTCTAGCCATTACGTTCGTTTGATTTATAATATAATGCCTTGGATTTTATAAAATCATCTAATCTATACATTTATACAGATAAATAAAATTGAAGTGTCTGTTTGTAATGTTAAAATACCAGCTTTTTACTTAATGCATATGAAAATATTTACAGCACATACGAAAAACACCATTTTTTATATTATGGTTTGTCTGCCTGTGTGTCTGTCTGTTTGTTCCGGATAATCTCTGAAACGGCTGGACTGATTTTGACGGGATTTTTACTGGCAGATAGATGATGTTATGAGGAGTAACTTACGATACTTTAATTTTAGAAAAAGAATTAGGTTTCCAAAAAAATTAAAACGTATCTAGGGACACATCCGAGCGAAGCAAGTGTAAGCAAGGATAATATAATATATTGGATATATCGTTAACTACTACTACGTTCTTTTTCTTCTATTATAAACATAAGATAAAGTAAAAATTAATAACTAATTTGGTAAAAAATAAAAATACTTTATAATTAAGTCTATACAATCAAAATATACTTAGAATTAAGTATATTTTATCATGCATTTTGGAAACCTTACAAATTAAGACATTAGTTTAATCTATACTAATATTATAAAGAGGAAAGATTTGATTGTTTGTTTGTTTGCATTGAATAGGCTCCGAAACTACTGAACCGATTTAGATGAAGTAAGAAGCTATTTTAAAAACCTGGGAAGGACATAGGGTAGGTTATATCTCGGAAATCATACCTTAAGGGGTTGAAAATGGGTATGAAAGTTTGTATGGGGAAGCAACCTAGGGAACGAACCCGAGCTAAGCGAGGGTGAGTCGCTAGTGATATATAAACTCGTCTAATGTCTAGTGACTGATATAAACTAATTTTCCCTGTAATATTCTAAAGGTGCTCTAAAAATACTTATACGTAAAACAATTGGCTAATTTCATTTACATAAACTATAATAAAATATGTAATTACATTAATAGCAACTTGGTATTATTTATTCTGTTTATTTCCAGGCGATCGTGGCATTGACATTTAGTGTGTACGTGCTCAAGCCCATATTCCCAGAATGTGACCCTCCAGAAGACGCTACACGGTTATTAGCCGCTTGCTGTATATGTAAGTTGGTCTTTTTAACCAACTTTCCAAAAAAAGAGGTTTATGTTCTTCTGTATGTATGTTTATGTATGATCATTTTAGGAGTCGGCTAGGTAGATTTTGCTAGTTCAAACTATTTTCTAGTAAGGTACATCGCGATCTTTGCCATTTTATAATTGAGGGCATTCCAAGGGTACAGTCTGAGCTCTATAACTACGTTTACACTATTTTTTTCATAAAATAACAATGTCAATAATAATATTTAGCTAACCAATATGAGATAATTTGAGTGGTTCATTTTATATAACGACTTAGCCAAGCTTGAATGGTTTAGGATCGCATACAATACAAACGTCCAAAGTTTTTTTTTTTTGGAACTCTACTCTAGGAACCTTCGCAGGTGTACCCAGAATAACCCATCATTGTTTTATCATAGTCGGATCAATGGTTTAGGAACGCATATTGAACAAACATACAAACATTCATTTTCATTTAAATAAATTTTTATATCAAAGTTTCACCATTTCTTACGTGAATGATGTAATGTAAGTTTGAAAGTTGTAAGTTTTCTCAAAATTAATCATCTTTTGCAGTACTACTAACATTCGTCAACTGCTGGTCAGTGCGAGCCGCCACGAGGGTACAAGATTGGTTCACATACGCGAAGTTGCTGGCCCTCTTCATCATCATAGCCGCCGGTATCTACCAACTGTGCAGAGGTAAATTTACGGATTTTTTTTCCGAAAAATATAGTTTTACTTAAAATGTAACAAGTGGTCGAAAGACGAGAAATTCGTTAAACCGTACTTGGCCAGCGTGGTGGACTGTAGCCTGATACCCCTCGGGGAAACCCGTGCCCAGCAGTGGGACGTTAAAAAAGCTAAATTACTATTATTATTTTTTAAATTTCATGAATGAAGTGGAATTCTATATTATTTGTCAGATCACAAACAATCAACTAATAAGCAATATTAGCTGTGGTTATTTTGACTGTTTTCTAAAAGAAAGAGGTACTCATATGGGTTGAATGTTTTTTATAGTGTGTGGGTTGTAACTTGTATCTTACACGATATTTTAACCAATTGAGTATCGATTATCATTTTTCTTAAATTGTATAGCTTTAAACGACAAAGGTCCCATAAAAATAAATAAGAAATCGTATGTAAAAATTTTACATGGTACAGTGATATTTTAATTTCTAAGAAGTAATATTTACATAATAAATATTTTTGTAGCTAAAACAAAATATACAAACTAGAGTAAACTATTAAAAACGTTATTTTAATCATAAGAAATCCCATACAAATACGTATATTAAGAGGCTCGTTATCTGGTGTCAGATGCAGGATCGCCTCTCAATGACTCGAGATAAATCAATTTGCCAGTAAATTGCTCCTTTGTGCCGACAGGAGTATCGAATTGACGTAATGTACTAACAAACGGGATATACACAACTAAGAGATAAATGGTGGTAGATCCTTAGAGTAATATTGTAGTAAAAAAAACGTGTGTGTGTGGACTTATGGACGCACGTAAGAAGTTATACTTCTTTGGCGGAACTGAACAAAAATAGCTAAAGATTTCATCCCGCATGTCACAACTCTCTGTTTGTAAAAGGAATGCAGCTAACTTCATCGTGTCGCTTTTTGGCTGTCGGTATGCGCGCGCATCGTACAAATTTTACTATTATAATTTTTTCCAAACGTGACAAAAGAAGTATAACTTCAAAAATAATTTTTATATGAAATTTTTATTTAAAAAACACTTTATAAATTGAATTTTGTATGTGGTTATTAACATCGAATATTTAAAGGTCATTTTAAATTAATGTGTAATCTTACTTTAAGAATTATAAGATTGATTTAAGTCGATCAATATAATTAAAAATGGCAGACTGATTTTCACACACATACCTACACATCGATTATGATTTTTTTGAGATAATCCTTGGAGCGACTTACACCTATTCATTGGATAAAAAATCATAAAGATTCACAATTATAGAAGATGTCGCGTAACATACATAGTAAAAAGTACACGGTACACTCGAATTGAGCTCCTTCAAAGAAGGAAAAGTTTCTCCTTCTTTGAAGTTAGTTAAAGGTTGACAGATAAAAATGTAATATATTAAAAATAATATGTAATATATAATAATATGTAATAATATGTAATATATTAAAAAAATGTAATATATTAATACAGGGACCTAGGTTCTGAATATGATTTTGTTCCTTTCGGTGTCGAGACCCTTGGTCCATGCGCTATAAAACTTTTTAAGGAAATAGCAAAAAGGTTATTCGACGTCACAGGAGACCGAAGAGCTGGCAGCTACTTCGGACAAAGAATTAGTCTAGCTATTCAAAGGGGGAACGCTGCCAGTATCTTCGGAACCTTGCCTAAAGGAACTCCTTTTAATAATATTTTTTAGTTATTATATTATGTATATATACTTAAGGTTTTTTTTTTAGTTTAATGTAATTTATCTTATTTATATTAAGATTTATATATAAAATATGAAAATAGCTTTGTTAACATTATATACATATATTAAAATATCAGAAAGTTTTCATCTACATTATGTAGCTATAGATTTAAGGAAATTAAAAAATATAGCCCTAGTACCTATATAATTTATGATTCATTGGCTGTGCTGACCTTTTCTTCCAGTTAAAGATGAAAATGGGATTCATTTTTAAATTTATTAATTACTAGCATTGCCCGCGGCTCCGCCCGCGTTCAGATGACCGTAACCAAATTTTTAGGTTTTACAAATTAGTACTCGTATACTCATACATTGCAGTTTTTGTTTTTTTTTTAAAAAGTATCCTATATGTTGACCCGGATAACCAGCTATCACCATACCAAATTTCATCAAAATCCCTCCAGTGGTTTTCTGTGATGCGGTAACAGACAGACAGACACAAAAATTCTAAAAACTATAGAATCGGACTCTGTATCGATAATAATGTTTATTTCAATAAGACTTTCCAAAAAACATCTAATGTACAGATTCGGCTTAGTTACAATTTTATTATATCTATAGATTACGGGAAAAGTTATTTAAATTCAACAGCATATTTAATGTTGCCATTACTACATAATTCTCCATAAACAAAATCTAGACTTTGAAGACCATAAACAATACAGCTAATAAAATGTGTTCAATTATTAAATCAAGCAACAAGTTCCTACATTGCTAAAAAAAAAAAAAATCACTGTAATGGTTATTTTAAATCTGTTAAAATAAGAAATGAGAAATGCATTACGTCCCAAACGTACAGACGTCTGCCAAAAAACGAATTCCTTTTGAAAATACCACGAAACAATCGACCAGTCCTCCGCGTCGAAACCTGTTTGTTTTTCCGTACATGTAATTTTTGATTTATTACAAACTCGTCTCGAGTTCATTGTCTTTTGAGTAGGTAATGGAATGTCAAGATTTTAATTGTTTTCAGCCTTTTTTCATTCAAGACAATTGTTAAGGCGGTTTCAACAGTGGTATATAAACTTTTTGCTTAGAAATTGACAGTATGCATGAAATACGTCCTCCTTCAATCGTAAATACTAATCAAAAATTTTTTAAACAACTAAAGTCTGATTTTCAATTCCACGGAAATATGACAGCTACCATTCTTTGACAATTCAGATATCATAAACCTTTTCTGCTTTGTATTTTTTTAATATAAAATAACAAAAAATATGAAACAGAATTAGATCAAGTAAACTATATGTATGACATTGTAAATAGTTTTTATTTTGTGTAATCAATGCACCCTAACTATAACGTAAATTTTTAATAGTTAAATGAATAAAACAGAGTAAAACAAAATATTTTACAAACAAAGGGGTTTTACTAAAAAAGGCTTCCGACCCATGGATTATTGGACAAGGATTCCTGTAATAGAAAAATAATTTCCTTAATAATTATTGTAACTTCAATAATATGATAATAAAAAAAATGATTACCATTTTAGAGTTATCAATAATTTTTTAAGTCTTAGTTTTTCTAATTGAAACCATAAAAAAGAAAAAGAAAGAAGAAAGAAAGAAAGGTTTATTTTTTTATTTTGCTAAAATGCTTTCCGTTTTTAGTGACAATGTTTCAAAGTTGGTTGTCAACTTCTGAAATGTCAAATTCCGTCGAATTAAAAATCAGACTATAGTAGGAGATCTCGATCTATGTGGTGGATCTCACTCTTTAAAAATATACTGAAGTAAATTTATTGTGACAACCCCACTGGGTCGTGTTTGTTAATATATGTATTTAAAAAAATATTTTTCGCCTGGAGAAAGAATGAGGGGTCCACCAAATATGATAGGGTAAAATAAGATCGGGACCTTAGACTAAACGGTCTATCGGAGATGCATTAAAAAAATTTTTTCAATCAATTTATGAAACCCTTATTTGTTTTGTAAAGATTTAACAAATTGATAGATATAAAATGCAAAAAACAAATAAAATTATAATATAATTCCTTATTTTTTAAAGCACCTAACAAATTAATTAACAATATGATAAATTATTTCCAAAACATCAATTCAGAAACTTTCGATAGTGAAACTAAATGCAAACTTCCTCTCGGAAGGCGTCGGCGGACCGACCAGTCACTAAACTGACGGACAGAGACCATCTTATTAGATGATTGCTGCGATCCGGTAACATTATTTAATTTCATGTGAAAAAGCATTATGCAGTCAGTGCAATAACTTCGTTGGGGTCAGGCCTTAATTCTTTAATATGTTCGAATGAGGAAGCGCTTTTGATGTTTTTTCTATGCAGACGTCAAAGTGTTTTACAATACCTAAACCATAATACGCAATAAATAATTATATGTAATTATTAAGTTTATTATAATAGATATACTTATTGTTATCTGCTACATAGAAATTTTAAAAAAGTTTTAATTCGATTGACCTTTCAATGAAACTTCGATTGACCAGTGACTTGCATGTACATCTGGGTTCGAGTCCCGGGTGAGACAGCTATGGTCACTGGGTTTTTCTCTTAAGAATAGCTGCCTGAGATCAGCGGTTAGCTGGCGATCTTGTACCCCAGAAATGCCTCGAAAAGCACGTGTCGGTGATGTAACTGATATTACATTAGTCATGTCAAATTATCGTAAGAAATTATGTAAGAACTAAAGACAATGATTCGGCTAAACTCCGCCTTGGTTTAAATTGGGCAGTAAGACATTATAACTATACTAATATTATAAAAAGGTAAAGTTTGTGAGTTTGTGAAAGTGTACGTTTGTGACGTTGTAGGGGGTAATCTCTGGATATACTGAACCGATTTAGATGAAATTTGTAAGAAGATAGTTTGAGACACTGGGAAGGACATAGGATTCTTTTTATCCCGAAAATCATCCTTAAAGGGGGTGAAAATGGGAAAGTTTGTATGGGGAATCAAGCTGTAACAAAATTGCCTAAGTCTATAAAAAAATTGCCTCTATATTTTTTTGGGCTATAATAAGAACGGAAGAGGTCCTGATATTATCTTCTACAAACAAATAGTTATTTATATCATTAAAGAAATTCACTGTTCACTTAAGTATTTAATCTATAATGTATCATTAATCCAAATGTCTATTATCTACTTTGATACATAAATCTAATAAAATTTATATAATTTCTAGGAAAAGTAGAACATTTCACGTTCGAAGGCACCACCAGTGACGTGACATCGATTGCGCTGTCGTTTTATTCCGGACTCTTCGCTTATAACGGATGGTAAATATTGTTTTTTTCTTCTTGTATTTCACATTATGTTGGTAAAGTTTTGTTCATTTTATTACAATGTATTCTCTGTAACTGCCTCGGTGATGTAGTGGCTAGCATGTACGGCTGCACACCCGGAGGTCCTGGGTTCGAGTCCCGGGTTGGGCCAAGTTTAGTTATTGAGTCTTTCTGTATAGTAAGCCTCAGTAACAGTCCAGGGTTGGGAAGTTGGCGGTGTTTCACCCCCGTGCCTCGGAGAGTACGTAAAGCCGTCGGTCCTGCGCCGACACTCTCACCGGTCGTGTCTCGTGTCGTCCCACCGGAGTACGAGAGTGACAGGAATAGAGAGTGCACTTGTGTCTGCGCGTACACTTGTGCACTATAATATCTCCTGCGCAGTTGGCTAGTCTCAATGAGATTGGCCGCCGTGGCCGGAATCGGTCAGGAGAACATCACATCATTTTCTGTAGGATGAAACTGAAACTTTGAAGTAGAAAGGTCTTCTTTAATTGTAGGTATTTTTTTAATGTACCATTTTCGTGTGCAATAAATAGTGTTATAAAAAATGTGGTTAAATTGTATAATATACCAATCTTTAATAACAATACTTAGCATAAAAAAATCATATTAATAGTTTGATATGATTGAATTGAATACTTTTAAATTATAAATAATTTTAATATTTTTCTTATTTAAATAAAATGGCACAGTGTCATTTCTAGAGATATCTCTTCTAATTAATTTGGTGTAAAACATTCGTAGGAACCAACAATCAAAATGAGTTACTTCATATCTTATACGAATATTATAAAGAGGTAAAGTTTGTGAGATTATGAGTTTGTGACGTTGTAGGGAAAAATCTCTGGATCTACTGAACCGATTTAGATGCAATCTGGTAAGAAAAAAGTTTGAGACCCTGGAAAGGACATAGGATACTTTTTATCCCGGAAATCATCTCTTAAGGGGGTGAAAGTGGGGATGAAAATTTGTATTGGGAATCTAGCTACGGACGAGCCTGAGCGAAGCGAGGTTGAGTCGCTAGTTGTAAAATAAAAGTAGAGCTAAATTCAATACTATGAGTTTATCCATTTTTAAAATATTTGCAGTTATAATTTATTTCGTTTCTTTTAAGGAACTACCTCAATTTTATAATAGAAGAGTTGAAGGACCCGGTGCGGAACTTGCCGCGCGCCATCGCCATCTCGTGCGCGCTCGTCACCGTGGTGTACACGCTCACCAACGTCGCCTTCTACACCACTCTATCGCCTACTGAGGTATGCATTTTCAGTTCAGTTTCATCAAAATGAGTTCATTATAAAAAAAATGAATTTTGTATCAACAGAAAATCCATAGACGGCATTTGACGACACGTTTGGCTCAGTTTGTAGTGACTCTACTTGCTGAACCAGCGGTTAATGAGCACGAATGCTTGTAATCCAGTCATGGGTGTTTAATGTTTATATTTATAATATGTTTGTATTTAAAGTTATATATATGTAGTGTATCAACTATCTGGGATCCATAACACAAGCTTCGTAGCTTACCATGGAACTAGATGGTGCTGTGTGTTAATGTCCCAACATATTAATATTAAAAAAAGACCTATATATTTGCAGGTATTAGGGTCGGCGGCGGTGGCGGTGACGTTTGCCGAGCGCCTGTTCGGATGGTTCGCGCTCTCCATCCCGCTGTTCGTGGCCGCCTCTACCTTCGGCGCCGTCAACGGCGTGCTCTTGACTTCTTCTAGGTTTGTTTTATATTATAAACTAACTCACCCTCACTTTGCTCTGGTTCGTCCCTACCTTAATTCCTCATACATTTACACCCCCTTAAAGGATATTACTATAATTAGAAAAAGTTTACTTTATACTTTTAGTCTTTTCAAGTCAAAAAATATTTTTTAAATTATATCAACATTAAATTAGTGTATGTTGTTGGTGATCATCTTACTCGTAGTGTTATAAAAGTGAAAGATTGTGCGTATGTAACAAACATACGCACAATCTTTGTTAGATACTTTTATTTGGACTATATTTATTGGATTTATAAACAGATAGATTATTATGATTTGGAGTAACACATACGTGTTAAATATTTAACAACCTTATGCGAAAGCATGTATGTATATGTTTGTTACTCTTAAACTTGAGCGAAACTATATTAAATGACTATTATATTAATATATAATATATGAAACACCTGGGTGATCGATCTGCGTTCGGTGTGTTTTGGAAAAAATATAAAAATCCCGTAGGCACTTAAACAGATAAATATAAAACGCAAAAAAGTAAAATTTGATTCAAATCGTAATAGCCGTTTTCGAGATACACGAAGTTTTATATATAAACAAATCGGTCATTTAATATATACTAGCGACTCACTCTCGCTTCGCTCGGGTTCGTCCCTAGGTACGTTTTAACGGTTAGTATAAAATACAAATCTTTGAATTTCTCGGCTTTTCTGTACTATAATATGCATGTATTATACATATAAACCTTCCTCTTGAATCACTCTATCTATTAAAAAAACGGCATCCGCAATCCGTTGCGTAGTTTTAAAGATGTAAGCGTACATAGGGACAGACAGACAGCGGGTAGCGACTTTGCTTTATACTATGTAGAGAAGATAATATAATATGATCGTGTGGCAGACTGTTCTACGCGGGCGCGGCGCAGGGGCAGCTGCCCGCCATGCTCACGATGGTGTCGGCGCGCGCCACGCCCGCGCCCGCCGTGCTCGCCGTCGCGCTGCTGTCGCTGCTCTACCTCACCGTCTCCGACATATACGCGCTCATCAACTACGTCGGCTTCGCCACATGGGTACGCTCTACACTGTACACTCTACACTGTACGCTCTACACAGTACAATATACACTCTACACAATACACTACACTCTACACTCTACTACACCCGCGATGCTTCCGCATGTAGAAACCAGAGCTCGGAAACCTGTTCAATTTTTAAACTAAGTTTGTTTATTGATCCCAAACCGAAAGGTTTCGATTACATTTTTTAACCGGTTAAAACCTAGAAAACGGGTTTCCACAACCATTAACGGAAATACCTACACCAAATGTAAAAACACTAAAACTCATTTTAACCGATTATATTTTGATCATGAAACCTATTTTTGCCAAAAATTCTTTTCAGAATAAGCTTAAAAGCAGCTTTTTGCTAAATGAATATGGAATATATTATTATTGACATTACAAACAGACACTTCAATATATCTGTATAGATATATTGTGCTAGGAATATTTGTAGCTAACTTAAAGTGAATATAATAAATATAGGTATGTAACTTTAGACGTTTGATTATCCCTCTGTATACTCAACTATAGTGAACACGCATTATTCACCCACACACTAAAATATTGTAAAAATATAAAAATTATGTAATATTATATTATAAATATTGTATTGTATATATATATATATATACTAGCGGCTCACCCTCGCTTCGCTCGGGTTCGTCGCTAGGTACGTTTTAAATAGATATAAAAAGAAAAAATCTTTCTTTCTCACATTTTAATTATATGTTTTAATACTTACCTATTCCGGACTAAGAGAAATCCAAAAATTAAAATATCATAAAAATTGGAACGCGGTCGAACGGGATAAAAAGTATCCTATGTCCTTCTCCTGGCTCTAAACTACCTCCCTGCCAATTTTCAGCTAAATCGGTTCAGCCGTTCTTGAGTTATAAGCGAAGTAACTAACACGACTTTCTTTTATATATATAGATATATATAATTTATAATGGTTGCTAGTGTAATTTAAAATTGAGATTTTTCTCCTCCAGCTGAGTATCGGCGCGGCGGTGCTGTGCCTGCCGGTGCTGCGCTACACGCAGCCGCTCCTCGAGCGCCCCATCAAGGTCAACCTGTTCTTTCCCAGTCAGTACATGCTCTAACTTAATATTAGAATATAGATTATTTAATAAAATGAATGGCTAAATGTGTTGCTAAGTGTAAAACTCGACACCAATTCGACTAATTTTTTTCAAATATTTGTTGTCCGAGGAAGGTTCTTATGAAGAGAGATTGGAAAAACTATACGAAAAAATGTAAAATAACGTACGTAAAGTAAAACGTATTTTTTTTATTTTTCTTTTTCTATTACTATGCAGGTAAATGAGATTTGATAAAAGTGCTGAATTTCGAATTGTGTGCTTCTTTTAAGGACAATTTTGAGACGCTAATTGTTTATCTTGAATTTTTGTATATTATTGTATTAGAAATATAAATTAAATTATTGCAAAATCAACTCCTAAACTTAATCCATTTTTCCACAATATGTAACCACGATTTAAAAATAAACAAAAGGTTCTAAAATCAGCTATTTTACAAAACCACTAGCTAAATTATAAAAAAGTTCTGTTATGTAAAATACGCAGTGATTCAATTTCTAAAAAGACATTCTAAATCTAGTTCTACATGTACATGTAATACTCTGTAACTGCTTCGGTGGTGTAGTGGCTAGCATCTACGGCTGCACATCCAGAGATCTTTGGGTTTGAGTCGGGGTTCGGGCTTAGCTTAATTATTAAGTCTTTCTGTTAAAAAAGACCGGAGTTGGGAAGTTGGCGGTATTCCACATAAAGCCATCGGACCTGCGCCTTTACTCTCACCGGTCGTGTCTCGTGTCGTCCCACCGGAGTATAAAAGTGACAGGAATAGAGAGTGCACTAGTAGTAATCTCAATGAAATTGGCCGAAATCGTTCAGGAGGATATCATTTTTTTTTACGTTGGGAAATACATTTAAGCACGAAGTGTGGGACTCACCGTCAAAGCCAGTACTACCCATTAAACGTCCCCCCGTCTTAACGAGGCGTCGCAGGGTAGCTTACGCACTCAACCACGCCGCCCCGACGGCAGTCTGCCGAAATCGACCACAACAAACATGGGGTCGCTCAACAGTCCACTCTGCTGTCAGAGAAGTACCAGGAGCAACCCGCATAGTACACCACCCTCCGAAGCGGGCCATCTCTCTGTGTGTGTCTTGGCTTCGCGCCCGGTTATGTTGCCGGCTCTACTGACCCCAACCACGACAAAGTGAACTCACGTTGGGGGGGGGAGGAGGACATCATACTTTATCTCTCTCAAACCAACTCCTCCTCTCTCTCGTCGCAGTAATCTACATAATCTGCACGATCCTGGTGGTGGCGTTCCCGGCTTGGGCGTCGCCCGCCGAGACAGGCGTGGGCTGCCTCATGATCCTCACGGCCGTGCCCGTGTACCTGCTGCTGCTGGAGCCCCGCACCAGGGTCGAGGGACTCGGCTTTATTACCGGTAGGTGTATGGTCTATCCATGGGATTTTAGAGGGTTTAGACGTGAATATTTGACATATATACTTTAATTTTATAAAGAGGTAAAGTTTGTGAGTTTGTGACATTATAGGGGGTAATCTCTGGGTCTACTGCACCGATTTAGGTGAAATTTAGTAAGAAGATAGTTTGAGACCTGGGAAAGGACATAGGATACTTTTTATCCCAGAAATCATCCCTTGAGGGGGTGAAAATGGGGATGAAAGTTTGTAAGGGAAAGCAAGCTAGGGACGAACCCGAACGAAGCGAGGATGAGTCGCTAGTTTAAATAAAACTGTATTTTCGGATTTTTGAGCGGATTTATTTTGATTTTTGATTTCCGGCGCTATAAAGATTTACAGCGCATATGGTCACGGGAGAGACTAAGGTCATAGTCTCAAAGGTCAATAAATAGGTGTTACAGACAGCACCTAGTATCTGCCCACAATATTGAAGAATTATAATTCTGTTTTATATTTTATATAACATATTTTATTAATTTTGTTCACAGCCGCTGCTACACGTTTAATACAGAAGTTAACGCTTTCTGTTCGGCCAAAAATAAAGGTAATTTTTTAACGATCTCGTTAACAAAATAATAATTAATAATATTATAATAATTGCAATAAAATAATATTGCTACTAAATATTCTACATTGTGCCAAAATATTATATTAGAATATTCATATTTATTAAGTTTATATTTTATCCACAAAATACGGTTAATTTCGGTTTCGGTGGTTTGGGTTTAAATTAATGGTTCGTTCATTTTTTTGGATTTGGTTGGATTTCAGTTTTGATACTGAAACCGGTAAACCGGTTAATTCATTCATAAGCTTCGATCAACAATACTACTAGATATCGGGTCGACGTAAGAAATCCGTCTCGGTAAATATAAGCTCACTTGCAAACTGCAAAGTGAGCGTATATTTCGATTAGTTCTATTGAAACACTGCCAACGTAAACACGTTCACAAGACCGCAATGTGTATTTAAACGTTGCAAAAATATTGCACAAAGAAGAAATTTTTAAATGACGAAATCATATAAAAATGAAATTTTAAACAATTTTAAATCCGCAAAGAACGTTTGGCTTTGGCGTAATTCAAAGAAGAAGCAAACAGAAACAACAAATAAACGATTTAGCTAACAAAGCAACAACGGTAAAAAGTGCTTTATAGTTTTTAATATAAACTTGATTTTACAATAAATATTATCTATAAAATTTACGAAATGATTTTAACCGGTTAAAGAAGGTAACCGAAACCTTAAACCGAAAAGACTTTTTTGGGGTCAATGACCAATTCCGAAAGCCGAGCCCTGGCACTCGGAGCGTTCTGACTTCTGAGTGTATATTCAAAGACGTAATTATTTTAAGCGCCATTATTTATTTTCTAACTTCATTGTCTTTTTTCAACTCCATATCTTTCAATTTCAAAAGCACAAAAGCAAAACATAATAAATAAAAATAAAACTTTTTGATTATTTAAAAGTAAAAGTAGAAATTAATATATTTTTTTAATTATATAAGTAGTTTGTATATAAAGAGTATTGATAATACTGCCCTCCCGAACCTAAAGTGCAGTAACAGCAAAAACACGAATTCGAGAAAAACGCGCCTAAAGTTTAGAATCCATAAAAATATATCAAAAAGAGACTTTTCGATAAAACCTTGAATGGAAAGTGAAAGAATATGTACCAAACTAAAATACTAAACATTGTTACGTTAGTTTTTTTATAAAAAACCATAATTATGGCAATTTTAATTTTTTAGCCTCTATTACTACACACACTTTATTTGTATAATCTTTTCAAAAACTGTTTTAAATGCAGTAAATCCTGTTATTACTGCATTTTAGACATTTCTTCCATGATCGTTACTAACTAAAGTGCAGTAATATTATGAAAATACTGCTATTTAATCTGTTTTTTTGAACAAAACACTGATATTCCACACTTATAGTAATATAAAATTACCTTTAATTTTGATAAAAATATGTAATTTCTTAAACAAAACTGGACATGCATTTATGACTATGCTATTAAAACTATTCATCAAAACATTGTACATTATAATCTAATAGTGTAAATTGTTTGATATGACTAACAATATAACAATCTTTACAAGATGTTGATAATCTTAACTAGTTAATCCACCATAAAACTATATCACATGTATTTCTCATGCATGGATCAATAAAATTTACATAAAATCTTTCTTCTGAACATAACTAATTACTAAATGAGTATTCTTGTCTAATAGTCTGAAAAGATTATGGAAGGGAGAACTAAGGAGAATTAACTTATATGGGACACAAGTTGAAAAAGTGTCCAGTAGTGAGCAGCAAATTATAGCTCAGAAACTCACCGTTACAGCACTAGCGTAGCAAGTAGATGTGATGTGAAGTTAGTAGTTTTTAACGGAGTAAAGTGTGCTGAATTATTATTACTTGAAAATAATATATAATTATATTGTATATTGCTGTTTGCCTATGCTAGAACTATTTTGAAAAGTGCGCCACAGCAAAGCGGAAATCTTTCTTTCCTTGTTTAATTCACCTTCTTACTTTTATGACGCTATGTTTTAAACTAGCGACTCGCCCTCGCCTCTCTCGGGTTCGTCCCTGGATACTTTTTTTTTTGGCTCTAATTCTTTTTTTAAAATAAGAGTAGCCTATATTACTCCCTATAAAATCAGTTACCTTCCACAGAAAGTCCGTCAAAATCAGTCCAGCCGTTTCAGAGATTATTCGGAACAAACAGACAGACAAAAAATTTTTAAAAATTAGTTTTTCTTATAAGTACCGTATATAATTTCATATGCATTTAGTAAAAAGGTTTATTTTGACATTACAAACAGACACTACAATTTTATTTATCTGTATAGATGTATAGATTCATATACTTGTTTTCTGTGGCGCCACCAATTTAATGCTTGTCAGCGGTCACTTTTTATACGAGAAATAGTTCTCCTTAGTTCTACCCTCCATATCTCTTTGGTACAGACACAGCATGGCACGTCAAGTCAGCCTTAAGCCACAGATTAAGGAGACTGCCTCAAACCGCGATATTGCCTGTCCTGTGTTTTAATATTTTAATAATTTTACCTATTAAAACGCAGTATTAGGGAATAGTATTTGACTTTAAGTATTTTAGGTAGTATGAATTGGATGGAGCAAACTAACTAATATGCAGTAAAATTTATAAATATTGTAAACTAAATGGTCTTTTACAAGCAACTACAAAACATCCTACAAGTTAAACTGCAGTAAAGTTATTAAATACTGCATGTCTTTTAGTTTTTCACAAGAAATTACAAAATCCCCCACAAGTTAATATGCAGTATGGAATGTTAATACTGCACTTTAATTAGGAATATAAATAAAAAATATTTTTTCTTAACCTTTGCAGTATAATCAATTTGTATAGAGTCGAATAATACTGCATTTTAATAAGTTTTTTCTTGAATCTCCTAGAACAAACTACTATTTTAAGTGCCACAAAATATGATAAAACACTGCAGTTTAGTTAGGAAACAGAGAAAAATCTTGTGCAGTATTAATTGTACTGCAGTTTAGCTGGTGAACATGGAATATTTTAACAGATTTGTGATATTTTTGCTGTTACACCTTCCGAAAAAACATTAAAATAAAATACTTTTATTAGCGCTACAGAAAAAAGAATTAATTTGACTGATAGCTACTAAAATGGATATTTAGAATATATATTTAACTCAAAACCGACCAAAATGTCTATTACTGCACTTTAGGCTCAGGTGGGCAGAATAATAATATGATTTTTTTCCAGTAAACAACGCAACGGACCAACGGAGTATGCGATGACATATCCGAAGATTCAGTATTTACTATTTAGTGTAAGAGTTACGTGTACACAAACAGACAATGTATGGTTGATGTATTATATATACATATGAGTGTTAAAGGAAAATTATACGTGCTTGCTTTTATTGGAAGTAGACCACAGTAGTAGTTTAATGTAACAAAATTAGTAAATAATAACGTTGACATTACAAAACAAATAACCAATTTTGTTTATCTGTCATAGTTATTACAGATTATAAATCACGCTATAGTTTGTTCATAAAATCAGTATTTTTTGGAAAAACTGTGAAATCTATCTATAGACGTTGACCAAAATTATACTATGATAGTATCATTAAAAATGATCTAAAACTATACATAAAGATTTGATGTGTTCTTCAAGTAACTTGTTAAAACGTATTATATTATCTACAAAATCAATAATGTATAAAATCATCAAAAAAATAACTTTTACAATAAAAACTCACTACGTCGGTACAATAATGCTGCTTCCATTTTAATTAAGTGTAAGAACTATTTATTTGTGTTATATTCCTCCAGTGTAAGATAATATCAATTTTTGTTTTTTTTATAATTTATTGATTTATAAAGCAGGACTAAAATTAAATTCTAAAATAACTTTTTTTAAATAATTTCATTAAATATTTTTTTTAAATATTGAAGTGTATTGTCAATATTGACAGTTTATTTATTTTTTAATGACATCTCCTAGCAAAGACAATATTTTTATGAACTTAGCAGTAGCTTTTATAAAGTTGTATAAGATTTTATAGATATTTGTATGTAGCTGTTGGGCAAGAAATGGCAGACTATCATTCCATTAAGCACAAAATATTAATACATACATTTAAATTCCAATGTCCTGTTTTTATTTAGTTAAATTAATTTCTTTACGTTTCGTTAAACGTATTCATAATTTTATTTTACAAAAGGCTGTGACGTATCCAATAACAAAAACATTTTGTTATTTATAAAATGTATGTATTTAAAGTTATATATGTGTAGTATATCAACTACCTAGTATCCATAACGCAGGCCTCGTAGCTTACCATGGAACTAGATGGTGTTGTGTGTTAATGTCCCAACATATTTATTATTTCTGAAGTATCATGGGAACTTATATTTTACTCATTCCAATGTAACTATCAATAACTGAAATTTAGACTATACTTAACTATTTGCTTTTACGCTTTAAGGTTATGTGCATTCAATATTTTTTTATATCGATTTTTTTATATGGAGGTTTCATAATGTCAGGGAAAATATTTTTATTAATACTGTCTTAGATTTATACGAATATTTGGTATTTTAAATAAAACTATCTTTTCGGGTATTTTTCACCGATTCATTTGGTTTTTATTTCCTGAAGTTTCGAATGCTATATATAAATCATGGTCACAGGAGTGATCTCCGAAAAGATAGTTTTATATAAAATATTTTTTTAAATTTATTTCAAAAATATTCAATGGTCGATAAAAATGTTTAATGTACAAAAATCTAATAATAGTTACATGTGTTGATTATTTCATTATTCCAATATTTTTTTGTAAGTTTTAGTGAGATAACGCATTTATTTGCTCATTTTTAGTAATATTCAATATCATGTATTGTTGTAAACATCGATTATTATTATCGATATATAGGGATGTGTAATGTGTCGTTGTTTCTGTTGCGCGCTACGCGTTGACTCACAGACGCAAAGTGACAATAATAAAATTATAAATAAATGTGGCTTTTCTTTTTAATTTACGCATAAATAACTTTACTTTTGAGTTCTGTTTTAGTCTAGCTCTAGTCCCTCTACCCCGTGAGTTGCTCGCTTGGAATCTATCCGGGAGGTAAAAGTAATATGAAAATCGGTTCAATTGTTCCGGAGGCTAGTGAACTAACATACTTAAAGAGGTTTTAACGTTACTTTGGACTTTTGTAATTGGTATAAATTAGTCAAGTCAATCCCACTGCTAGGGACGGGCCTCAGCCAGTCTTAACTACAAGGGATCAGGCCATAGTCCTCCACGCTGGCCAAGTGTGGGCGGACTTCACATTTCTTTCGAAAACTTGCTAGGTTCTCTTAGATTCATTCGCGATTTTTATTGACGAAGCAAACCAAGTGAAAATACATGTAAAGGATAACACCCAAGAGCACTGTTCTGCTAGATATACACAAGAACATCAATTGGAAGTATTTGGTATCTTTTGTATTGTAGAGTCCTACACTACAACCCACCTACCGACAACTTGATAATAGTCTGTGGATAATGAATGTTCCATCACACTGACTCACACTGGAATTTTAAAGAAGTCTATAACAAAATATCCACCGATTAAGCTATTAGTATCCATCTGATGCTAGTTCCTAAAATGTCCACTAAAGAAACCTTATAACTATCCAACAATATAGTTGTAACGAAAAATTTTTTATTCATCTATGATCATATAAAATATAATAATAATAATATACAATCTGTTTTAAGCTTCAATTGTCAAGGCAGTTCGCGACTGCTGTCAAATGTCATTTCCATGTGTTCTTAATGTTTATTGTTTTAATTAAAAGTTGCTAAAATGGTTAAATTCGGGAAAAATAAACTCAAAACGCTTAATAAACTAGCAAAAAAGCAAAATGCCTTACCGAGTAACGCTTCCAACAAAGTTTTAAAGAAAAAACTTAACGTCGAAAAGAAAGTTACATTTCAGAAGGAAGTGTTGTTAAAAGAAACAGCAAAAAGTGAAACTCTCGTTAAAAAACTATCTAAAACTGATATCGCATTAAGAAATCTATTTAAAAAATCTGACAAACCAAAGGTAAAATCATCTGAGACTGAAGTTAAAAAACCCAAAATAAAATCTGTTGAGAAAAAAAAGAAAAGGCAGAAAACTCAAATAAGTGACACTAAATTATTGCTAAATTTGATGAAGAAGAAGAGCTAATTTTAGTGCACAAAGTTAACATTGTTATTTATACATAAGCATACATTTTTAACTTCTTTATAATATATAAAATTGTATTTTTATTTTAAAAATCAAGTTGTTGGTATGTAACTGGCTTAATATGTGTAAAATTATATTATATACATAATATGTTTAGTACCTGACTTGTGACTTTCTTCACTAACATACATATATTTAAGGTGACAATTGTTTTTATTTATGCATTCCCTAACTCTTTTTTAACTATTGCACAGAAGAGCCATAGGAGAGGCCTATAAACAGCAGTGGACGAAAGCAGGCTTGGTATGATGATAGTTTCTCCAACATTTTATTTTCTGTAAAATGATTTTTCATCTTTTCATTTATAACATAATACACTACTTATTGGCATTTAGGGCTGTTGTATTTAAACTGATATTTTACTTTTTTAGTCTTTACTAAATGCAACTTTATGAACACAATTATTAATTTTAGACTTAATTTTAGACCAACTTCAAATGAGGAGAAAGTACTTAATTTCTGTTTATAAATTGATATTAATAAATAATGTTGACAATTAAGAACAGATAATAGGTATTATGATTTTTTTAAGTCTAAAATATTATCATACTTCTATTATCATTATGCAAAAGTTTGAGTGTATGTTTGCTTGTTACTGTTTCCATGTTGAAGCGGCATGGATAAATATGGAATTAAGAACATGCATAGACTATGTCTATACCTTTAGTTATACATAGGCAAATCTATACTATAATAAAACAGTAGAGATCGAATGTCTGTACATAGCAAAAAAATGCTAAAATCCGAGTCAGGGGGATGTAAGAAGACAAATAGAACAAATCCAGATTTTTTTCAATTTTTTTGTTTCTCTGTCTGTACGGGCTAATCTCCGAAACTATTGGACCGATTTAAATGAAATTTTGCATGGTCGTACCTTATATCCCCGGTCAACATCTTAGATAATTTTTATCCCGGAAAATTAAATAGTTCCCGTGGGATAGTTAAAAAACTATAGTAACTTATACAGCTTAGTACACAACAACTTATGCACCTAATTTAGTAAAATTTGGCATGCTGATACCTTATATTGCCGGTCAAACAACAGGTTACTTTTCATCCCGGAAAAATGAACGGTTAACGTGGGATAGATCTATTTTTGTTTGTTTGTAGCGTATTATGTACACAATATAGACCCCAATACAATAGTTATTAAAAATTTTGTCTGTTAGTATGTTTGTACGGGCTAATCTCCGAAACTGTTGGAACGATTTAAATGAAATTTTGCATGGTGGTGCCTTATATCCCCGGTCAACATCTTAGATTCTTTTCATCCCAGAAAATTAAAGAATTCCCGTGGGATAGTTAAAAAACTATAGTATACTTATACAGCTTAGTACACAAAAACTTATGCACCTAATTTAGTAAAATTTAACATTCTGATACCTTATATTGCCCGTCAAACAACAAGTTATTTTCATCCCGGAAAAATGGTTCCCGTGGGAACTAATAGATCTCTATGTGTTTTTGTAGAGGCGAACCCGAGCGAAGCGAGGGTGACCTGTTTAATAAAGTGAACAGTTGATGCTGTGTTCAAATTATAAATACAAAATGTCCCAAGACATTCACCAGAACAAAGCAAGTAAGTCTTTAGTAACTCACATGAAATATAACTTATGCAAAGCTGTCTTGTGGACAGTTATGTTGAACTAGAGCTGTACCTAATTGATGAGCCAACAAAGCGTCTCTGTTTCAAGTCTGGCAAAATTTTGTTTTCCTCTATCAGTTTTTTGGTACTCTACTACAGGTCGTATTTTACAACCGATCTGGACGAAACTTGGTGTACAGTTTTTAAGACAACTTTTTTTGTTATCTTTGCCTTGAAAGCTTACTTCCCTCAAAAAGGGGACTAGGTACTAGATATCTCCGCCTTATGAGATTCGATTTCGATGGTCATTTTTTATTTGAAAAGTATTATTTTTAGCAGATCTCATAAAAATTTAGTGAAAATCTCATGAGAATCTTAGGCGTGATGATAGAATATGTGATAGAATATCTCCTCAATATGCAATTTGAGCTTTCAAGGTCTCCAAGCAGAACTACTAACAAAAAGTCATAATTATTGGGAAACATCATTATTTGGTAAATTAAAACACGTTTTATTTATTGCTATTTATTGAGACTAAGAATTCTAAGAGTTCAACGGTAATCCTATTGATTACAATATATCAGAAAAAACTACTACTAAATAGCAAATCATTAAACTTACTACTAAAAATAGTCCTAATATAGAAGTATCTAATTAATAAGGAATATAATTTTGTCTAAGTGAAAATATAACATTTTGTCATTCAAATAACATTCAAATGGCAGATTCTGTAATCGATCTCATTGTTTAACACGTTCAGTGCCACCGACTCGCCCTGCGAGTTTACGTTAATTTTATTCCAGTGCCGGGGACTCGCGCGGCGAGTTCAGTGTTTTTCGGTAATATTTTCAAAACGCTTCTGTATATTCTGTTCTACGGTGTAGACTTAATATGATGTCATGTTCACGAAAATTTATTCTGCAATGCCGTGAACTCGCTAGGTGAGTTCAATGCCGCAGATTCTCAAATTTTAACGTCGTCAACACCATAACTTCGATTTTTAGTAGGTTGATGTGGAGTTCACTGTAAAATGTAAATCTATATAAATAAAAATGAATCATCGAAATATATTTACACGCATAACTTCCGATCAACTGCACCAAATTGGATATTTCATCTCGTATCGTATTATCTATTATTGTAAATAATATTAAATAATAATAAATAGGTACAATGTTGATTTATTTCAGTTTAAATTATTTTTATATTGTATGTTAAGAAATAAAACTTTTTAAATTATTTTTTAAGGTAATTGTTTCTTTAAAAAAAGTGTGTGTGTGTGCAACTCACACATGGTAGAAGTGAAACTTAATATATTTGCCGGACAATAACAACGGTTACCATGGCAACATGGCAATGTATTCTATCTCATTCTCTTGCCGGCTTAATCCTATATATTATTTATATGTTTGTCTCTTTTTAGTGTCACATTTCCGTTTCAAATCATAACGATTCTAAAGAAGTTTCTCTTCAAAAAATAGTCTGCTAGCCAAAGCGATAGACCATCATAGGTCATATTTGATTGGTAATACCAATGATAGCAGTGTTCAATTTTGTTTCAATAATCAAGAATCCTAGCAAATATTATCAAAATATTTATACATACTTTATTTATTTTATTTATTACTTATAGGAATTTGATACTAAATAAATAAATTTCATTTCATTTCACATACTGTAATTTTTACTTGCAAGTAATGGTCCGTCCACACGATACAGATATAGAACATACAGAATTCTGTAGCTTAGAGGTGAGTGATATATAGTGTCACGGTAAAAAAATCACCGTGATATGCCATTCTGGAATGTCACTGTGATCTATTCCAATGTCACAATGTATCGAAAGTCAGTAATCACTGGTCACTGTGACAATATGTAAAGCGTTTAATTAAACGTGTGGTCAATTTAAAGTCGTTTATTACTTCTCTAGACAAATGTAACAATTAGCAAAAAGTTAATGTAGTTACTGAGTATCACCGTGAATAAAGGAACTCTATGGAACTTTCAATACATTGGAACCAAAGTGACAGTCACGGTGACAACAAAATAACGTTTTTTCCCATCTCTACTGTAGCTTTCTGTAGAATTGTGTCTGTGCAACATAGCAGTACAGACAAATATCGGTATATTGAAAAGGTCAGAGTTACGGATGAAAGTTGAAAATATGCATCTATGTCTGAATACTATTTGGAGTCAAAAAATTAATCAGTAAATAATTATTAATTAATAATAAATTAATTATATAATTGGATAGATCACCCGAGGCAAACATTTACTAAAAAATAAAAATTAAAGTATACATACTCATGTACGCATTTAAGAAGTTATACTTCTTTGGTTATCGTTTAGTTACAGTTCACAATAAAAATGTTGTCGACATTTTTTTGTACAGGTGTCTTGTAAGACAAAAGTCTGTACCAAACCTGTATCGTGTGGATGCACCATTATATAAATAAGGTCATTTGAACGACAACATGTGATAAAAATAGTAATGAACAGTACAAGATTCACAATATTTCTGCAACTCTAATGGTTATCTATCAAAATAAAAAAATATAAGTGTACTTCTTAGAAGTATTTGGAACAATTAATTATTACTTATTGCTTTGATCAAGATTTTGATTTTTAGAAGATTTTCTTTTCATAATGACCTATTTCAAGTTCAACGCCCATAGTTCTATACAGATTCGTTTTATAATTACTATATATTATTGTTGTATCATAGACAAAATTAAAACAATTTCTTAAATCACTATAATATATATAAAGATTACTTTAGCAGTGATAATGAGGAATATTCAAACCATATAAAAAAAATGGAATTTAATTACACACTTATCTGACCCGGTGGCCAAAATTGGAACTAAGTGCCGCCATTTTGAATTGTCATTTTGTTGTCTTAGAATCTAGCCTCTAAATTACCCAGATGATTAACATCAGAGCTGTCCAAAGCACGGCCCCCGAAAATGACTGAAGAGTTATTTAAACTAAATTAAACATCGCCGTATTTTTATTTTTTATTGATATATTTTATTTTATTTATGTTATTAATTATCCAAAAAATTAATTAGCCTAGGTATTTGTTGTTGCAGCCGTCCAATCTGTGCTGTGATTTATTTATATTGGCCCACGGTTGAATCTGATCTACATATTAATAATCATAATTATAACATAAAAAATGTGTTTTGATTATTATTCTAAATGTTTATTTTACCCTAAAAACTGCGGAAGTTCTATTTAGCGGCAACACTAAAATCAACAACAGCGACGCCATTACCGGGTCAGATAAGTATACTGTATTTCTTATTAAGAAATATATAATTAAAACTAAATGTAGTATATTTCTAATTGAATAATTTAGAAGATTTGCTAATGTTTTCTAAGGGAAGAGATGTGACCATATTTGTGCATATCTTACCACCTAAGTAAACTATGTACTTAACCTTAAACACTTCTGCGATAGTGTTTCTTTTATAATGGAACTAGAAGCAAAAGTGTTGAAAATATATTCAAAACTCGTAAATCTAATTCCAAAATAGCCATAAAGCCAATTCTATATATAATATATAGTGTAATATGAAATTTTATGTAAAAACCATTTTAGATAGATACGTTTGTCAAACAAATTTGGCTTCGGTAAGTAACATATACTCAACAAATATAATTATTAATTTGTTTTTATATTATAAACTCAATCAATCTCAGAAACTAGTTCCGTTATTGCTGGAAAATTCTAATCTTTAAGAGATAATAATAAATTTTACATATTTTTTTGATGTGAAACATCTATTGGTACAACATCTTGGCAGTAAAACAGACTTAAACTTGCCGTGACGGCAAACGGCGTGACGCTGTCATGCCATCATTCTACATTATTACATATTTTCTATTCTCTTGATGAATATATATGTATATTCTGTAATTACTATTATAATTAAAATAATAAAAAAAAACATGATTTCAGCAACGAATCTACATTTTTTTTTATTTCACTCTATATTTTGTTATAGGTTTTTATTATGAATTGTAACATTAACATAGATGTTTCATATCTGCCGTCGTCCCGAGACGGTCATTTTTTTTCTAAAATTAAAATTCACTGAAATACAACAAAAAACCTATATATATACATATCATATTTCTTATTTAGTAACGACGACGGCCTCTCCCTCGGCCTCTCTGGGAGGCGGTTGACTGAGGAGCTGGTGTTGGATTTTTCTCCTCCTCATTTTTACTTTCCGCTTCAGGTTGCTGTTCAACTTCTTCTTCTTTCTCCTGTGGTTTCTCTCCTTCTTGCTCAGGCTCCGGCTCCTTTTCCGGTTCTTTAGCTGATAGAAATAACCACATTAATATCCATACTAAAACTTCTTTAGATTTACGCGAATATTTAACATTCTAAATAAAACTATTTTTTCGGTATTTTTCGCGATTTATTTTGATTTTTGGTGGTCTCGACGTTTCGAATGCTTATCAGATACAAATCAGCAATCATGGTCACAGGATAGACAAAGGTTTTAGACGTCAAGTTCGGGAACAAAAAGTCTAAATAAATCCGCGAAAACATCCGAAAAGATAGTCCTATTTAAAATCCATATACTAATATTATAATTTGTGAGAATAGATGGATGGATGTTTGTTATTCAATCACGCCAACGAATGGTTGAACAGATCTGGATGAAATTTGGCACAGAGATAGATTATAGTCTGGAATAGCACATGGGCTTTTCATCTCGAAAAAATGTACGCTTCCCGTGGGATAGATTTTTTTTTTGTTTTTCAAAGAGCAAGCAATCTACTACTATCTTTTCCATACTAATAGTTAAAACGTACCTAGGGAATGAGCAAAGCGAAGGTGAATTTCTAGTTACAAATAACTCACCATCATCCTGGGCCTCATCATTGAGTATTTCATCCACTGACTGCTCCCAGTCCTCCAGCTCGTCAGCCGCGTGCAGGTCAGAGTCTTCATTCTCCATGTTTGTTTCATCTGCGTCTGTCGGTTCATCTGTCACAATAAACACATACATTTACAATTATAATCATTTTATATAGAAAGTTCTATAATATAAATCACTTTATTTTCATTTCTTTAAACGTAGTAATTAGTATATAAATATTTAATTAACTATTAATATCTATTTTATTTTATTTAAAATGATGTTGTTTTTAAATCTTATTAATTTTGTATTTTTTTATCAACTACTAAAATAATATGTTACTGTGATATGTAATTAATATTATTATTATGAATGCTATGTACACTTGTAATTTATATGCATGTCTTTTTTTCTTGTTGACTTTAACTGTATTGAATTTTTTTAACATGTGTATTGTTAGTGTGCTTTATAATGAATGAATAAATATATAGTCTATGACACTGAAAACTAAGATTGTAATTAGGCAAACTGTTGGAATGAAGTTCCTTATCAAATGTTGTATTTGGCACGCTCATCATCTATACATATAATAAAATTCTAACTAAGCCGAATCTGAACATTAATTTTTTTTTGAAAATCTTATTAAAATAAACATTATTATCGGTATAGAGGCCGAATCTAAAGTTTTTAGAATTCTTGTCTGTCTGTCTGTTACCGCATCGCTGAAAACTGGAGGGATTTTGATGAAATTTGGCATGGTGATAGCTGGTTAACCGGGTCAACATATAGGACTTTTTACCGAGGAAAAATACTTATTTCTGAGAAAAATACAAAAACTGCAATGTAAGAGTATACCGATATGTAAAACCTAAGAATTTGGTTTTTGGTCATCTGAACGCGGGCAATGCTAGTCATAAATAACAGGCTATCATACGTGTTGTATGTTTGTAAGAAATTCGCGAGCACTCTGTGCATGTCTCTCTTCGATAAGCTTCAACATGTACAATGTATGTTGCTTAATGTTTATGATACCCAAGTACTTGTGACAATTTTAATGATCTAATTAATATATTAACCAACAATAAATAAATTACTTTTAACATTATCCTCCTCATGTCCATTCTGGTCAGCATCAGCTTCATCATCGTCTTCTGGAGTGGTCTTGCGCCGCTTCCACGTTCCCGAGTCATCGTTGTGGGATCTCTTCCTCGACTCCTGCGGTTGCTGTGAATAGTAATGTTAGTGTTAACAGTAATGTAAGTTAGAGGGCTGATGAGTGACATAGGCTACTTTACTTCGGCAGAATATCCCATTCCCATGGTAAAACGCGTTATAATACAACCCACAAAAATATAGTCTATCTATTCCATACTAACCGTTAAAACGTACCTAGGAATGAACCCAAGCGATGTTATAGAAACCAAAATATAATATAATCTAATACTATCAGATATTAAATTGTCAATCTATATATATTATATATAAAAATCTATGTATGTATATGTTTCCTTTGAACTCCAAAACGGTTGGAGCGAATTTGATAACATTTTCAGGCAATCCTCAGATTAGTCCAGCGGGTGATCCTGTGATGTTTTAACGTTCATGAAGCCTCAGGTATTTCTAGTTCTATATATGTATATATAGTTTAAATAATTTGGCACATTTACAAAGTTACTATAACTAGACAAGTAAAGTGAATTCCTTCCAATGTTCATTGGTTAAGTAGTTACATGGGAAGCCATTAAAAAAAATAACTTGTTTAAACTCCATTTATATTTGATCCAAAACAAAAAACAAATAAACAAATGTCATTAAAATTCATACAACTGTCACAAAAACCCATTTCATCTCAACTATGACCAAAAAAACACCACCATACCTGATTGCCACTCTTATCAGACAACACCTGCAGGAACAGCTGGTGATGTCTCCAAGTCCGGAGATGGACCTCAGCAGTCTCTTCGCTGTCCAGGAACTTGCGACAGAGAGTGCACTGGACACAGCTGAACGGTGAGAGGAAGGACTTGCCTACACCACGTTCAGTGCTGTGAAAAAATTATTATATTAAGTAGACTTGCAACAAATATTCATTAATTATTATTATTTTTCTTATAATCATTTAAAGTGGTCATAGTTACATAATCAAGTTCTGTATTACAAAAATTAACCGAAAAGAGTATCAATTAAATTTCTATGCATTTGCATTATCATAATCAAAATTTAAAAGAGACACTCCCAGCTTCAGAGATAAGACGCTCTGAATAAATACTACTTCCTGGCGCCAAACAAGAATCAAACACGTCGATACAAGTTTTTCCTGGCACAAGTTTTGCGCTGACCAAATAGTTTTACCTAATATCCGGCTATTCGGCCAGAAAGCCCACAGAATATTCGACATTCGGCGTATGGCCGATATACTATTCGTTGCAAGTCTAATAGTAAGGCTTTGGGTATATGAAGAAATCAAATCAAAAAATGTAACTTTTACTTTAATTACATTATGATTTTTTACAACATGCTAGCGACTTACATTCGCTTCCCTGCGGTGCATAGATACGTGAATTTTGTTCACAATTTCATGTTTTAATTTTTTTGCACACAACCCTAATTCTTTTTTTAAATTAAAGTAGCCTAAGTTACTTATTATATCATCACCTATCTTCCAATGAAAGTTCCGTCAAAATCGGCCCAGCAGTTCGGAAATTAGACAAACAGACAGACAATAAAAACTGTTTTTCCTCATAAGTACCATACAGGGTGTCCTGTTTTCAATGGATAACCTTGAAGTGGCTTGTAGTAGAACTCTTAGCCGTTCAGAAAAAAATACAAAACCAAATATATTGTAAGTAGTACTTAAGATATGATTTTTTTTAATAAAAGACTACACATTTTTATCTTATTTTAGATTATGGAACTCTACAACCACAAAATGAATGAATTCCACCGATTTTTGTTATTATTTTAATGTACACTAACCATGCCAATAGATAGGTAGTAAATAGTAAGACTGGCTATTGCACTTTTTTTTTTAAAACGACTTGAATTAACATTTTCGGCGAAAAATTTGTAAAAATGTCATTTTCGACAAAGTTTAAGCACCTTGGGTGTAAAAAAAATGTATGAAAACATAAGTGACCAATGATTAAAAAAAATACGTGTTTACAGTAGATTTCAAAATAGTATAATTCATTATGATATCTGATGTAAATCGTGAATTATTGCAATTAATGTACAAAGGGAGTAAATTTGACTAAATATCGAAATATGTATTATTGGAACATTTTTTTACATTAATTTTGTACCTGACTATTGGTGTTCATTGAAAATATCATCAGGCATTAATAATGAAAAAATAGCTTATTTAAATAAATTAAAACCAAATAATGTTCAAACAGAAATTTAAAAAACAGTTAATGCACAATGTTTTAAATGGTTCGTTATGATTTTGAAAATCGATCATGTGATGTGATATTTACTACCTGCGCGCACCCTTTGCACCTTATCTTTTGTTCATGTTAGACAAAGAGGGTCTAAGTTGGCTGAGCAGAGGAAGTAAACGTAAAAAAAAAACAGGTAAGGGCTCAGTGCGTCACTCGACTTGCTTGATTTTCGCATGTATTTTCTCGTTTTCGGTTTGCAATTTTTGTGATTTACTTTGTACCAGTTTTAAAACGACGACCTGGCTATTTTACTGGACTATTCGTTTTGTTTACTGATTTGAACTTGTTTTTTTTTTGGTGATATTTACGACGACTTGGCTTGCTACTGAATGAACTGACTATTCAGTTTTGTGGATCAAAATGCCACGAATTCAGTATGAACCACAAGAATATGCAAACATGCATTTTGTATATGGGGAATGCAGAGGCAATGCAAACGCAGCCGCAGCTCTTTATAGGGAGAGATACCCTAATGCGCGCCACCCAGATTATCGCGTATTTAATAAGAGTCCACAGTTGTTATTCAGAAGGAAGAATACCTGGTAGTGGTGTCGGTGGGTCTAGCGCTGGAAGAATAGCTAATCCTGATTTCGAAGACATGGTGCTTCAGGAAGTCGAGCAAGATCCGTCGACTTCTATACGAGCAGTAGCTCGACGCACGGGCATTTCAAAATCTACGGTGCACAGTATTTTAAAAAGGTACAAATTGCACCCATTCCACGTTACAACGCGTGCAAACTCTCCAACCAAGAGACTTTCATTCTAGATTGCGTTTTTTGCCGACAAATGCTAGCAAAGATAGAAGAAGACCCGCAGTTTTTTTAATAAAATTCTGTGGAGCGATGAATCAACAGTCAAAAGAGATGGGTATTTGAATCTGCACAATCTACATAGCTGGGAATTAACAAATCCCCATCTCGTGCGTGAAGACAGGTCACAAAACCAATTTAAAATAAATTATTGGACTGGAATATTAAATGGAAAAATAATAGGCCCATTTGAACTAACGGGCAATCTAACCGGTCAAAGTTATTTAGAGTTTCTCTTCAAAATGTTCTTTCCAAATTTATTGGAAGAGGTGCCCGAGGAGCTAAGGGAATCATATTGGTTACAAAATGACGGATGTCCTGCGCATTATGCTGTTGCTGTTCGTACGTATTTAAATAGAATGTACCCACGCAGATGGATCGGGCGTCTGGGACCGATTTTGTGGCCTCCACGTTCACCGGACTTGAATCCGTTGGATTTTTTTTTATTGGGGGTTGTCTTAAAGAAGAGGTGTACCGCAAGCCGATTAGGTCCTTAGAAGAATTACGTAGCCGTGTCCGGGCAGCCGCATCAAAAAATAAGTGAGCGAACGGTACACGAGGCTACTCAGAAGATCATTTGTTCGAAGATGTAGGGCCTGTATCACAGTGGGTGGTAAACAATTTGAACACTTATTATAAATAAAATAAAGTCGAATTAATGTCGAATATTGTTTTTTATTAAACCCCCAATGACCAGGTACAATTTAATGTAAAAAATGTTCTAATAATACATATTTCGATATTTAGTCAAATTTACTCCTTTTGTACATTAATTGCAATAATTCACGATTTACATCAGATATCATAATGAATTAAACTATTTTGAAATCTACTGTAAACACGTATTTTTTTTTTAATCATTGGTCACTTATGTTTTTCATACATTTTTTTTACACCCAAGGTGCTTAAACTTTGTCGAAAATGACATTTTTACAAATTTTTCGCCGAAAATGTTAATTCAAGTCGTTTTAAAAAAAAAAGTGCAATAGCCAGTCTTACTATTTACTACCTATCTATTGGCATGGTTAGTGTACATTAAAATAATAACAAAAATCGGTGGAATTCATTCATTTTGTGGTTGTAGAGTTCCATAATCTAAAATAAGATAAAAATGTGTAGTCTTTTATTAAAAAAAATCATATCTTAGGTACTACTTACAATATATTTAGTTTTGTATTTTTTTCTGAACGGCTAAGAGTTCTGCTAGAAGCCACTTCAAGGTTATCCATTGAAAACAGGACACCCGTATATACTTTGATATGCATTTAGTATAAAGCTGTTAATTTGTCATTACAACTAGGCACTTCAATTTTATTTATTTGTATAGATTAATGTTTTATCAAAAATGTCAATTTACCAAAGATCTTCTTTAAATTATTATTAGTTAAATAAGACAAGAAATTGTCAAGAAACAACTAAAAGAGTTAAAAAATAAAAAAAAAGTATTCCACATAACCCATTTACCTATAAGCGGGCATCATGTCAGGAGTGACCTTGCTGACGTCATCACCCTCTTTATAATCCAAGATGGTGTTCTCATTGTCTATGCTCTTCTTCTCTTCTGGCTCTTGTTTCACTTCAACATCTTCTTGATTCTTCTTAGATTCATCTTCACCTTTGTCCTGCAAAATCCATACTAATATTATAAATGTGAAAGTGTGTTTGTATTTTTATTTGTTCTTCTATCACGTCGAAACAGAGTGATAGATTGGCGTGATTTTTTGTGTGGAGACAGTTGGAGGGCTGGAGAGTGACATTGGCTACTTTACCGCGGGAGATTATCTCATTCCCACGGAAAAACACGTTATAATATAACCCGCAACAACTCATACCTATATGTATGATGTTCTCCTGACCGATTCCGGCCATGGCGGCTAATCTCATTGAGACGAGCCAACTGCGCAGGAGATATTATAGTGCACAAGTGTACGCGCAGACACAAGTGCACTCTCTATTCCTGTCACTCTCATACTCCGGTGGGACGACACGAGACACGACCAGTGACAAATTTCTAACTCCGGGCTGTTACTGAGACTTACTATACAGAAAGACTCAATAACTAAACTTGGGTCGACCCGGGACTCGAACCCAGGACCTCCGAGTGTGCAGCCGTACATGCTAGCCACTACACCACCGAGGCAGTACCTTTATATAATACCTATATGTTTATCCATTCCATACTAACCGTTAAAACGTACCAAATCCGATCGAAACAAGGTCGAGTCGCTAGCTCATTTATATGTATATTTACATGCATATAAAAAAAATTTGGCACACAAAAATACTCAAAATATATAGGTGGTTGTTTTCGAAGCTAATATCAATCGGATACTAATTAATTTATCCTCTGTGGATATTTAGAAATATGTCTGTATAAATATTACACAGTGTAAGGTACTATGTACCTTTAATTTAATTTTCAACCGTAAGTTAAATTAATTTAGGTCGCAAATTTAATATTTTGTTTTCAAATTTTCAAAATAGATAAAATTCCTTTAACATTTACATTTCTTTTATCATTTAATATACACCTACATTTATATGTTACCTACATATTAGTGAAAACCATACCAAAATCAGTTTCGTGTTTTAGAAGAAGTAAGCGGAGAAACAGACAGACGCAGACTGCGACCTTATTTTATACTCTTTGAAGAACCTTGTAATAGTAAGCTAACGAATTATGTCATCATGTTCTCATAAGCAAATACCTGTTTGCCCTCATCCTTATCCATCTCCGTTCTCTCAATGCGCCGCCAGCGCTGGCGGTCGTCACGCAAGTACGACTGCTCCATGTTCAGAGTCGAGATCACCATCACTGTGAAACAACATTAACAATTAAACTTCTATTTATGTTGGTTTTTTTCTATAGCTGCACATATACATTTATTGTGGAGGTTCCAAAGAGATAAAGACTTTTTTCTTGATATGATTGACATTTAGATGAGCGTTAAAAAATTATAATAAACTAAACAAAAAAAAATGTAACTTCTGAGTTATATATTAAAATCCTTAAAATTGTATCAGCCACACTTTATTTCAGAAAGAGATATAATTGTTGATAACATTTATATTGGCAACACTGATCTATCATATTGTGGTCTATGGTAATGTACTTTAATGGAGTATGTTCTGTGTAAAATAATGTATGTACCTACTTAAAATAATTATTTCTATAAATAAAACTATGGACATTAAAATTATGAAGTTGTTTAAATTGAATATATTAGCAATAATAATTAAAAATTTTAAAAAGCTCACCTTCAGGTTTCGGCTTGGACACAACCTCCTGTTTGTCTTGCATGTTCTTCAAATGTTCCGCTGTTAGTCTATGCTCGTCCAATTCAATCCTGGTGGGCATTTCCTTATAACAGGAAGTGCATGTTGGGTGCAAGTACTTCTTCAGTTTGCGATGGCCAACCGTAGTGCGATGGATCGCACCATCGGCCGCGTACATGTCGCACATCGCACAGTAGAAATCACGAGGTGGCTGCTGACCGGTTTTGCGTGTGCGTTTCATTTCACGGATCTGTTGACAATTATAGTATTAGTGGTATGGTGGCTAGCTTGTATGGCTGCAGATCTGGAGATCCTGGGTTCGAGCCTCAGGTTGGGCAAAGTTCAGTTATTGAGTGTTTCTGTCATTAAATTCTCAATAACTGTTCATTTTCACTAATCAATTTTCTTATTATTTAGAATCATGGTATAATATTTCCCCTCTAATAAAATATAATGAGCGTAAGCTACTAAATATTTGATAACGGTTATACATCCAAGGAATTTACCTTACAACATGTATCCATTTTTAAAAATATTCAAAATATGAAAAAAGAATGCAATTTGTTATGCATATAAGCTTCACATTCAAAAAAATATTAAAACAACTCTAAATTGTTATGGCTTAAGTTTCTTCATATAATTACCTTAAACTCCTGCCTCATAGTATCGGCAGTCAATGCATAGCTCTCAGCTGTCTTCTGCATCATGATAGCATGAGCCCGTCCACTCAAATGGTTCTCAAAAGATCTACCGTCCCACATGCTCTTGTTACAAATATGACACTTTAGGAGTTGAGGATTGATGTCATCATATCGGGTCTTTGGAGCATCTCTCTTGTCTTCTTCGGACTTCTCGGGCTTATCAGAATCTTGGTTTTTGTCCTCACTAAAGAACACTTAGTAGATTAGTATTAAATTTCTATTGAAAATTGATTTGGACAATTAGTTCTTTTTGATATAAAATTCAAACTGTTGAAATGTAATTTTTTGGCTTGAGAAAGATGAACTATATATTGCCGAGATGAATTACGACGAATCCATCGAAGTTGCGCTTTAATTGTATATAAATGTAGGAAAATTGTGTCTAATTGAATATTAAAAAAATAATTTCAACAGAACTCAAACATAAACAGAGAGCTGTCTAATGAAGACGAATGTGACAATCATCCATGCAATCGAATCATTAGCCCTTGGACAGGGTTCGAAATCATTATGCCAATGTGGCTAAAATGGCCGGTGAACGTAAATTTTGCTGTTTGGATAAGAAACTCGGTGAAGCACCGGAAGGAAACTCCTGGGATTCCTTACCTCTCCTTGACAGGCTTAGCCTTTGAATCGGCATCCTTTTTCGGGGAACTCTTGTTTTGTTGCCTTTGCCCATCATTGGGCCTGAACGGCTTACGATTGTTGTTGATACGCTCACCAGCCCGATTGTAATTTCCCGTACGCCGGAAATTACCTTGATTGCCCATCTAAAGGGAATTTATATAATAATATAATATATGTTAGTATGAAACAGCCAGCCACTATAGGCCTATTGAAGAGCTGGAAATCTGACTAGCGGTCAATATTTGCTGGCGTGTGAAGACCTGCAAACTTATTTATTAAAAATAGCCATTTAGGATATATCTCTAAAGATTTACATAAAAATGGTATTATCAAAATACTAAATTTAACTCTTTAAAGTTATCAGTACAGTTAATTTATTATGTTGCAACTATATATTAGTAACTTCATAATATATCCGAATAATTAATGTTATGTTGATGAGTATTATGTACTTACCCTATTGGGCCCATAACCTCGGTCATACCGACTCATGTTAGGGCCGAAATCGCGTCTCATTGGCATATCCAAGAGAGAGGGTACCGGGTTTTGACGTGGTTGGAGAAGATTGATGAGATTGCTGGCCAAAGCTAAAGTAGCTTCAGTAGGGCCTCCCCCAAGAGGGAGCAAATTTGGAAGATCTCCACCAGGGCCGCCACCTTGCCAAGGAGATACACCTCCACGGAAATTCTTCCCCCGATCATTACGTCCGAAGTCCATACGTCTTCCATTTCCTTGGGGACGACGGTTTGCCATTTTTTCTACACCAAACAAAAATTGTTTTTCAAATAGGTATATGATTTAATAAACACTATGGCAAATCGATTTGTGGTAATTAAGTAGGTATTGATTAGATACCTACAGTTATTAAAGTCAAAGTGAATACACTTATGAAGGTTTTAAGAAATACAATTATTATTTAACGTAAGTACATAATGTAAAACGTTAAGCCATTCTTTCACATAGCAGAGCCCTAACAAAGAGAGCAGAGTGAAAGTAGGTTATACAAAATATTGGGACACAAGTGTGTTCGATGATACATAATACCAAATAATATATAAAATATATTGCAAATGCAAATAATGAATAATAGCACACTTTTTGGTTATTATTAATAAAGAAATAGAACAAAGAAAATGATGCTTACCGTAGCCCGGTTTAACAACTCCAATAGTATATTAAATATATGTATAATAAAAAGCACTTACCAGCAAGAGCACTTTACAAAAGTAGTTATTTTTGTAATAGCTGCGAGTAGCAAAACTGCTGAATAATCCCGAACTTTGAAGAAATAAATGAGTAGATAAATAAGAATAACTATCCGCAAATTTAAATACCGATTATCGAAATCCGAATAAAAATGGCGATTGGCGTCATAAAATGATATGAACGCTCAATGCAGCATTTTTACAGATTAAAAATAAGATCAGCGTCGCTTCTAAGTACTATCAAAATCAAAAAATAAATAAGTCCATTTTATAAATGTTGAGATATGGAAAATACAGGTGTTTTTTTTAAATTATCTGCGAAAGCTGATTATATTTATATATGTGTATTAGTTTTTATTAAAAAGAAAAAACGAAGTGACTATTTGTACGGGTACTGGACGAATAAATTATATTTATTCGTACATTTATTTGGATGATTAGCTTGTTTTTGACGTAGTTTTTGAAACCTCATTAAAAATCTCTAAGTTTAAAATGATCGATCGAGGAATTTCGAAGTAATTCAGAAAAAATACTTTCTTCGGTTTTCTTTTGACAACGATAACTCACGAACGAATCAATCGATTTCGAACGGGCTGGTGGCGATCGACGTCATTTTTGATGTTAAGAGCTTAGTTTCTAAAATCGATCGATAGAGCCGTTTAAAAGTTATTAAAAAAAAACACATTTCAAAAAAAAAAATTGTAGTTTTTTTGAGATTTCTCAAAACCTACTGGTTCGAATCGGTCCAAAGTATATTCAAAATCTAAGTTTGGTCAAGCCCTTTCGAATGGCGCCAACTACGAAGAAATCAGTCAAGCCGTTCAAAAGTTATCAGAGGGTCACATACATACATACATACAGACATACGGATATCAACGCGAAAACATTCAGGGAAGCATCCTATAGGGACCTCAAAACGTCGAGATCTGATGAGAACTCAGTTTTCGAAAAACGCGGTAAAACCAATAACTTCCCAACTTCCCGATTTTTGAAAATTTTCAATTTTCTTAGCGGGAAGTTAAAAAAATATTAAACTAATGTAATTGTACCTCTTCACTTTAATATTTTATACATAAGTTTTTACACATTTTTATCACTTTCACTGTTTTGATATGATTTTTTTGATATTTATACTTTATCTTATAAATTATCTTATTACTGTCCGCGTATTTTATTAAGGATAGGCCGTAGTAAATGTATTTTCTGAATTTTTATTAGTCTAATTACGTTTTAAAATTTTTTTTGAATTAAATATAATAAAGCTTCTGAAATAGTTAGTCCTATATGTTCTTTTTCGAAAACCTTATTTTATTTAATTTTTAAAGTTATATGAAACGTAATTAGAAAGATAAAATTTTTCAAATACATATTGCACATACATTTAGGAATGTGCGCAGCGTGTAATAAATATGAAAATAAGAAATTTAGACTTGTACAGTAAGGACGTGGCGCTGAGAGCGCTTAGAACACCTGGTATAAATGATAGTGAAAATATATTTAGATACTTATATATTTAATACCTATAAATTTGATTTATTAAAGAGCATTTATTATATTTAATAATAAAAAATAAATTCAATATTTTACGGTATTAAAATCGGCAAACATTTACCATTTTTTGGTTAAAATTAAAAACAAATAGAAACGCAAAATTATTATTTTTTTAAATTTGCACTCTATTGATAAAATAAAATTATTCGTCCGACTTATGTACGAATAATAATAAATTGTTTGTCCAGTACCCGTATTAATAATTATAAATTTTTCGTACGGTAACCGTATTAATAGACTCGGCCAAGAAAAAAACCGTATAAAAATCATGTGTAACAACCCTATGAAAAAGTAATCAATGAATGGAAATTCCATTTTTGTTATGACTTATTGACTTTGAAGTTTGACTCATTGAAGTTAAATTGCATTTTCATTTTCATTTTGTAACGGATCGTAGATCTGATCATCTGACTGGATTAATGTAAAGAAATATAAATTAATATTTCAATAGTTTATTTTTGTGTTTACTAATTTATTAATAAAACAAAATATGTCACAAGGAAAGATTGTGTTGATGGCTTGTGGCAGTTTTAGTCCACCGACATATATGCATTTGCGAATGTTCGGTAAGTTTCTTTTTAATATTACTTGACATTGCTTATTATTATTTCATCACATGAGATTAAAAATAAATGTATAATTAATACTTATCATACTGGCATGATAACGTAATATATCTATACTTCTATACTAATATTATAAAGAGGTAAAGTTTGTGAGTTTGTGAGGTTGTAGGGGGTAATCTCTGGATCTACTGAACCGATTTAGATGAAATTTGGTGAGAAGATAGTTTGCAACCCTGGGAAGGACATAGGATAATTTTTATCCTGGAAATCATGCCTTAAGGGGGTGAAAATGGGGATGAAAGTTTGTGGATATGGGAATGATGGAGTCAATCTAAGGACGAACCCGAGCGAAGCGAGGGTGAGTCGCTAGTAATAAATAAAGATCCTTTACAGATGACATGATGTGTATACTTAATATATTAATGTTAACTTCCATATTATGAAATGTATTACTCAAAAAAATAAATTATTTTTTCATCAAAAATAAGTACCAAAAATAATTTTATTTATTATGATAATATTCTCACAGTGAAAATATTATGAATATTATTATGTAAAATATAAAATAAATAATATTAGTAGTTAAGATTTAATACATCAATCTTTAAATTAACATTTATTAAGCACTAGTGACTTGCCCGCTGCCCCTAGTCCTACCACATTTATTATTTTTTAATTTTGTTTTTGCAGAGATAGCAAGGGACTATATCCATTCATTAGGTATGGGAACAGTAGTGGGTGGAATTGTATCTCCCGTTCATGATGGTTATGGAAAGAAAGACCTCGTAGCTGCTCATCACAGGTGAATAATTTCTTGTAGGCTTTTCTTAAAATAATTATTTAAATCATTATACTTTTCACTACAATGTGCTTTAGAAAATAATGACAAATTATTTAGTAATGAAACAACTATGACAATCTCCACGAAATATATATCTATCTATAACTAATTTTAACTTAATTTATTCAAGTTTAATAATAATAATATCATCAACCATCAAGGATCATATTAAATTTATAAAATAAATAATTAATACATTATTAAAACCTTCTCAGTACTCAATAAATATATTTTAGAATAGCAATGTTGAAATTGGCACTGCGATCGTCAGGATGGATAAAGATATCTGAATGGGAGACGCAACAAACTGGATGGACAAGAACAAAATTGTCATTACAATATCACCAAGTAAGCCATTTAAGTTACTAATAATGTTATGTGAAAATCGATACTTAATACTATAAATATGAAAGTATGTTTGCTTGTCCTTTTTTCACGTCAAAACAGATTTTGCGACAGGTTTGGCGTGATTTTTTGTGTCGAGATAGTTGGAGGCTGGAGTATATAGGCTACTTTTTATTGTGGCAGATTATCTCATTTTGGCAAGAAAATATGTTATAATACAACCCACAACAATTCATTCATCATACCTATATGTATTTAATATTTGTAATATACTAGCAGAACCGCGGCTTTACTCACGCTAAAACGTAGCCTATATTACTCTCAAGTCCTCCAACTATCTCCACACAAAAAATCATGCCAATCGGTCACTCCGTTTCAACGTGAAAAAAGGACAAACAAACGCACTTCACATTTCTGTCAGTCCAATAAGGCTAGAATCAGTTCACCCGTTCAAGTGGTTTCGGAGATTGCTACAGTACAAACAGACTGGCATTTTATTTAAATTTAATTGATATATTTTTTTCAATATTGGTATTTTCAAAATTCATATATTGTTTGTTAATCCAAGAACTATTCCAGTAGTAAAAAAAAATTATCAGCCTTGAAAAGGATTGTTGAAAATAAGTCAACGGGAAACTTTTTTTTAATATTTTTTATATAAAATTAGGTTTAAATTATAGGTTTTTTTGGATTTTAGCTCGGTGTGAACAAATGTATGAGCTCAATATGAAATAGATATTCTCAATTCATAAACAGATAATTTAATTTAAATTTAGATATAGTTATTAAAATGAAGTTATAGAAAATTGCAAATGCGTCATAAGTCATATTCACAAGGTAAGATTAGGAAATAAACTCTAATTCAAGATTCTAATATTGCATTCGTGACTCAGAATATCGACCGCGGTATCAAGGACGGCCTTGAAGGTTGGCGGGTAAATGTATAATATTCGATGTATGCAACAACTTGTACTGTAACTAATTATATACCTGTAATGGTAATATCGCGTTGCTAGAAAGTTTTGTGTATCGATTTGCATATAAGACGTATTCAATGATATTGCCATTTTTATTTAAGACTAAGTAATGTTCTTATAATATTCTGGATAGAATTTTAGTTGAGAAATTTGTAGTGTTTTACTTCCGTACCCGGAAAAAGTAGTCCCGCTGGGTTTCTTTCGCCAGTTTTAAGTCTAAGGCTTCTTCTTTCCGAACTGGTAGTAGACTCATGGTTCAGTAAAAAAAAAATAGATACTAAATGAAATATTTTGAATTTTGAAATATCTGATTTTTTTTTGTATAATAGGACTGGGTTTATCATAACATGAGAGTTTTGAATTGAAGTTTTGACAGCCTATTAGGTATAGCCAAGAATATGTACCCAAGAAAACGGCTTTAACGATTTGAGAGATTTGTATATAGATAAGGTCTTGCTTTTTAAGTTTATTCGTGTTGATGATTTTCCTGGAAACAACGCATTTTTTATCTTTTATGAAAATCTCCAAGCGACGCTCGGTCGCCAGCTACTATGAATTATATTAGTATTTATAAATATTCATTTAACTCTATTTCAGGATACCATAAACAGTCACATGTCACCACTAAACATAAACTCAGAACCTCCCTCTTGGCTGCCGGATGATATTTTGAATGTAAACAGTATAGATGAGCCAGATAACTTGAATTTCAAACTAAACGGTAATACAGACGATAGTGTCACTGTCAAATTGTTATGTGGTGCAGATTTGTTGGAGTCGTTCTCTACGCCTGGATTGTGGTCCGATGAAGATGTGAGTTTGATTATTATTGTTTTTTTTTGTGTATTATAGAATATTTTTATACTAATTTGTACTTAGACTACTTATGAAGTGATTTTTCGTTGGTTTTTTTTGTTTTTTTTTATGTAAAGGATTTTTATTTTTTTATTAAGACTTATAATGTTAAAAAAATAATGTAGATTTACTTGAAAAAAAAAATGAAATAGATGATTATTTTAGTTCTCGGGTGTTTTACAAACCAATAACTATATTTTTTTATTATTATTAATATTAATTAATTATAACGCTGACATAAGCTATTAAAATCTCCTTTGAAGAAAAAAAGCTGATATTAAAAAAACAATCTATCAAGTTTAATTTATAGAGTTGTATAACGTAAGTTTCTAAAAAGACTGGGAAAACAGTAAATTAAATAGAAAATCTATCAAAATTTGACTACATGTACATTTATGTATATAGGAATTGTATAACTTTAGTATCTAAAGACCAAAATATGTTTTTTCTAACATTTTCCAGCTAGAGACGATAATTGGTCGGCATGGCTTAGTAGTGGTGACTCGCGTGGGGAGTGACCCCGGTCGGTTCATATATGATTCTGACATGCTTTATAAGTATAGAGTGAGTATTTCGTATGTTTGTATGTTAATGTTATTGTGGGAGCAACATATTATTATTATACTATTATATATATTTACAGATATGCAATCGAATTGTAAAACAATATGTATTACAATTTGTTTTACAATTCAATTGCGATTTCAAATTTCTGACCAAACTCCCTTTGTGTTTTTTCCGTTCTATGTGACATTAGTGAAGTAATTTGTGCTCAACAACAAAATTGAATTGATAACAATATGTTTATAAATAATATTAATTTTCTATTTATGTCTTTCTTTTTAAAGCATATCTACCTTTTACAATTTTTAAGGTATAATGTTTCTAAAAGTATTTACCTGTACGATATTTGTTTTTTTTTTATTTTAAGTAAAATTTGTAATTATTTACACAGTTTTTCAACCGACTTCAAAAAGGAGGAGGTTCTCAATTCGACTGTATGTTTTATTTTTTTAATTTTTTTTATGTTTGTTACCTCAGAACTCCGTCATTTATTAACCGATTTGGACAATTTTTGTTTTGTTTGAAAGGGTGTACTTCCAGATTGGTCCCATTTAAATTTCAAAAAAAAAATACCACCCCTAGGGTGGAAAAACAACTAATGATGAATTTAACCTACTTCTAATTGTCATATTGACTTGAAACTTTGCAAGTATTTCTATTTCCGTTGATAGTACAGTGGTTCGGTGTTGTTGACCTGATCTGATGGCAAGGCCAGAAGGTGGATAGGTGGAACTCTTCAACGGCTAATAGTAGATACTTTGAGTTTGGGCTTATTTTGTTTGGTTTGACAAGCCTAACACGTTAGAATCCTTACTATGCTACTACTGTCTACACTAAAAAGGGAAAAATAAAAACTTTTTAACAAAAAATAAAAACCGACTTTTTAACAAAAAACAAAAGCACTAAAAAGTAAAAAATAACTGATTGGTAGTTTTCATTTACTATACATACCTAATCAAATATTTTCGAAGTTGGTGTGCTTTGGCTAAGTAATTAAAGCTTACCTATTAAATACATACCTAATCAAATATTTTCGAAAACGGTGCCAGCCCATACAAAGCAAAGCACGCCGACTTCGAAAATATTTGATTAGGTATGTATAGTAAATGAAAACTACCAATCAGTTATTTTTTACTTTTTAGTGCTTTTGTTTGAAGTCGGTTTTTATTTATTGTTAAAAAGTTTTTTAAGATCAGTCTTAGAAATACATATGTCATATGGAAAATTCCAGAAAAACGTGACTCTAGTCACAAACTATATAACCAACGAGGTGAGCTCGACGGTTATTAGAAGATTATTAAGGCGTGGTGAAAGTGCGAAGTATCTCACCGACGACGCAGTACTCACCTACATCAGGCAGAACAGATTATACGGTTCGATACCTTGTGTCACGTGAGTATATGTTTTTGTATATTGTAACGTACTAAGTTAGGTACCGGGTTCGATTATCGGAGGAGTTACTTTTAATGAGGTTATATAGGCAAAATTATAGCTTAAAATATCATATTATATGTATATCTATTTCTATAGATTTTATTCAAATATTTTCTTAATAATTAATTTAAATGTCATTTTTAATATATAGTAATATTTAATTCAAATTTAACAGTAACTAAACAATATCTTCTTCGCACGCTGCCTGGAACAGTGAGTATAACATTCTAACCGACATCCTAGCTAACTACGAGAAGTCCCCGCAAGACGTCATAATGGCTTCACCAGAGGAAACGAGCTTCAAAAACATCCTCATATCCATTCGAGACAAACCATCTATAATAGACGAAACAATAACAGTGAAACGTCCCAAAAAATCTAACTTCCTCATGCCCAGTAACACAATAAGTCCCACTTTGGATCCGAAACCTAAAATGGCGTATGTAGATAAAGTACCAACCAATTACGTGCCGGGTAAAGCTGTGAAAATTATCAGCGATGCAAAACAACACTCTATTCAAGAGGATAAGGTAAGTTGTGCGGAAAGTTCATACAGTTCTTTAGACAGCTATCTTTCAAAAGATGGAGATTACGATTTGTACAGGCGTAGGGTAAGTGAGGGTAATATGGAACAGGTAAAAGAAACAAAGAAAAAACGCTGCACGTCCACTATAAGAAAGCTGAAACCGGAAGAAATTAAAAAGAGTAAGTCGGAAGTGAGCAAACTTTGCGATAAAGTAAAGAGTATGAAGTTGAAAGAGCGCGAGCGGAATTATAAGACGCGCAGTTGCAATGATATTGTCAAATTGATTCTAACGAAACACGGCATACACGTGATTAGCGATACTGAGGCGATTGTTTAATTTTTTTTATTTTTTTGACAAAGGTACAAGGGGGTTTGGTTAATACTGAGGCGATTGCTTAGTATTTTTTTTTATTTTTTTTTTATTTTGACAAAGGTAAAAAAAAGGTTGTCAATAAAAAGGATTTAGATATATTATTTATTATTGTTCATTTTTTTTCATAATTATAGCAGAAATATTATAGAATATGGACTATGAGAACCATGGCTCTATTCTCATGTCTTCCCTATAAATACGTACAATTTTTTTTTAACAATATTACTACATATATCACAAGGGTTTGATCTTCGTTCATTATTTTTTCATTACTCATTATATGTTTCTTATATATTCCATAAAATATTTTTTTGATTTTTGATTTATTATGTGATTAAAAAAAAAACGATTTAAAGCCTAAAGTAATTAATCTGTAAGGTTTACATATTTATCGTAATGTTTTTTTTATCTGAGTTTATTTAATGGATATTAAAAAGTCTCTAATACTTTTGCTAATGTACAAAGAAATGGTGATTTTAATTTTTTAATGCGCACTTGTAGTATAAAGTTATACAATATTATACAATGATAGATATTTTATTTTTTCACTGTTTAATATATTGATTTTGCACATCACTACATATTGTATTTTAAATAATAATTATTTTTTAAATATTTCAATAGGGTTGTACCTCTTGTAGCTTCGATTCGAATTATCGATAATAATATAAATACTATAAATCAATGTCAAAATATTGTCAATTGCACAATATCTCTTTTTACATGTTGTGTATGTATTTTATAATAAAACTTTGATATTTATTTAACGGTCGTGTAATACAAATATAGTGTTTACATTACATATAATATGTATGTATTATAATATATAAGCTGTCACTGCGGATTCGTATCATGTACGGAATATTTATAATTTTTATATTTACTATAAAACATGACGTTAAATTCTGTAAAGAAATATGTTTATGTTACAATGAATAATTATTATATATTATGTAGTTTGTAAGATGACACTAGTCAGGTCATCGTTTATTATCGTTAAATAAAAATAAAGTATTATCGTTAGATTTAATTAAATAAAAAACGTATCGTTAAAGTAATGTGTAAATTATATTAAAATATAAACTATATCGACGTACATCTTTACTCTAAGTCACTACACATTGGACCAATAGAAATAATAACTAGACCTATCAACAAATAATATTCTAGTCCATGGACCATTAAAAAACCCATTGAATTTTTTTAATGGTCCATGGACTTTCATTAAATTATGAATTTCATTAAATTGACAAAAAAATGATCACGTAAAATCGTATGGAGCGTTATTACTGGTCCCTGTTATAGAGATGGTATTTATTTGAGCAAACCATATGTAATCAAAGTAATTTTATTTTGATTATTAATTTAAATAGATAATAAAGCGTTTATTTCATAAAAAATACGCGTAATATTAAAGTCAGTTGGACCAATGTGTAGGTGATATATTAGAGTTTGCAAAATTGAATTTACAAGTTACAGGTTAACATTTTTAGACGTGACTTTTGAATTACTTCTCTGTGATATTTTCTTTCTATCTATCATTGTGCCAAACAATCGCACAAAATGTAGCCAAATCGAAACGAAAGTCTATAATAATTAGTAGGTATATACTTAGTACGTAGTTGAATGGATATCATATGATAATATAACTAAAATGGTATTCACTTTTATATGAGTAAAAATTCGTTATTAAAAATAGGAGACAATTTCTTGAAATGCCAAATATTATCGATTTTTTTTATTGGGAATATTATTTAAATAACCGAATTGGCCCTGAAACATCAATATAAAATTAATGAATAAAATCAACAGACAAAGTTAATAAATTTTACTAACTTAAAAAAAAACTATTAATATGATATAATAAAACTCTTTTTCGTAAATTTTTATTTAGTCATTGAATACTTTTTCAAAGCACTTAAAATATTATCGTAAAATATCCATATTAAATGTATTATTGTACCATTTTTATTAATTGTCCCTTAGTGAAATGTTTTTTATTAATGTATTTGTATTTTTCGTAATTATGTCGTCTTCCAAAATGGATGTTGTCAATATTATATTATATTAGTGTTGTGTTTAAATGTTTGTTCGTTTCACGTAGTAAAGCTTCTATGGAAATAAAAAATACGTGATAATTCATATTGTATTTTTATTGTATGTGTATTTTTATTGTATTACCCCTTTTTTAGTTTTCTATCGAGGCTTTACTTTATCGACGTTGCAAATAAAATATAATGTCTACAAAAATATTTAAAAAGAATACAGTTCAGTTCAGTTTTTTATTTTTTTTTTATTCTATTTTTTCAGTTATTATTTACCCTGTGGTCTTAAATACCAATAAAATAGTATTTTTATTTGCAATGTTCTTCCTATCCACAGATTTAATATTATTTCTTCTATAAATTTCAATTTTACATTAATTTTCCAAATATTTCAGCCAAACACTAATGATCAATTTTAATAATTGTTGATTATTATTTTGAATAACATTTATTTTTTACCACAGGCCTTGAATTATATTAAACTATTGATTAAATTCAAGGCCTAAAAATGCCTCATATAAAAATATAACTAAAAGATTTTTACTTTTTTAACTGTCTGTGGATAAAATAAGTTAAATTCACCTGATGTCCATTATGGAAATCTATAATAGAAATGAAAATTGTTTAGTTATGGACTGTCCATTTCATTAAATAAGGTCCAAATTAATAAAATAAGATTATAATTTTACGTTTCTTTTTTTCGTATAGGGAGGCGGTTGCGCATTGTAGCTGACATGTTGCGTGCCCTCAGATAAGGCGTGAGTGGTGCGCACTTTGACTATGACAGTGCGAAAATTTAGACATTTTGGGTTCTATCGTCGTGTTTTTATAAGATTTATTGTATATTGACCAAGTAAAATATTGCATTTTGCAAGATATTTGTGTGGAAATTTAAAGTCTAAACTGATGCATAAGTTTTTAGTTTTTTCATCCTAGTCAAGTTTCAATATTCTATGCTCTAGCTATGTGAAATATAATTAATTTTTGCTTGGTACTAAAATTATGTATATGTCATTTTTCATAATTAAAAAAAAACAAAAACTTGAACACTTTTGGGGAAATATAATTGACTGTATTTTTGAGCAACATTAATTTCTATGCAACTTTACGTAATAGTTTTTGAATTATATTTAAATGTATACATATTATATGAGCGATATACAATGTAACTTATAAGTTATAACGACGTGCAAGATTATCAACTATAGGACATAGGCGCTTAAAATGTGATAGCAAAGTGATACTAATATTGAATAAATATAACTAGACGCGTGTACTTTGAACGGTAGTTACTTAGTAGCTTTTAGATATTTCACACACGTACTTAATGAATCTATATTTGCTAAATAATATATGTTTAAATATTTTAATATGAATAATGAATGCTATTTGTGCTTTTGTGACAATATTGGTTGAGTAGAAGTGTGAAGAAAATTGATTATAATTTGTTTATTCTATTATTGAAATTAATATAAAAAAATACTGGCTATATCTTTCGTTTTCAGAGTTCAAAAAACTATTTTTTTAGAAGTCAGTCGATTTATTTATACCTAATTTTTGACTTCTCCCTGCTTATTTAGAAGCTCCGGATAGCTTATTTAGTGTTCGTATATTGTACTATAGGTATAAGCTGCATGGATCTAAGCCAGAATTACAGATCACATTCGATTTGTCTCATGCTTCAAAAATAAAAAAGATAAGGAGATACTTCATAGATTTTATTTTAAGCTTCATACCTTCATGACCTCCATATATTTTTTATGGTATTTAGTACCTCTTTTTTTTGTACGTTATTTAATTTTTTTACCGTTATTATTTAATATATTTATTTATAAAATTACATCAGATATTCATATCACGCCTAAAAATCGAAACAATAAAATTATTTAATTCAATATCGATATTCGATTTAAAAATCAATCATTCGTAATGTTCGAATTATTCGTACATCCCTAATTTTTAAAGCATGAACAAAAACTTATTATTTGTAATTGTAGAAGTTTATTTGAAATATTGTTTATTTATTTTATATGAATTATAAATTTGTTTTAATGTATGTATTATTAAATAATAAACAAGTTATTAATAAAATATTTAATAAATTTAAATAATATATTTAATAATAAACAAGTTATGTTTTACAATTGTCAAACATTGCATTTAAATTTTCAGTAGTAATTTTAGATTGTGTTCTACTATATAGCTATTATACAAAGCTAAATTTTATTTTTTGTCAAATCGATTGTTTTAAAAATTAATTTGTTTGGTATGTTCTACTGGATATAAAGCTATTTCAAAATTATATTTTATTATTTTGATATTTATTTTATTTTTTCCTTTTTAAATATTTTGTTTTTCTTTCTTTTTCGGTTTATGTACAAAACTATTATTTTTTTATATCACATCATTCATTGGACTTTTGCATAAAGTAATATAATATGAAAAAATTTGATTATATATTTGATATTATGAGATTTAGTAATTTAAAAATAACATAGGTATTAGTTGAAATTAATTATTCAAACACAGCACTAATAAAATACCTAATACTTGGCAATATTCTAAATATTTTCTTGTTTCGAAAAAGTGAAACTGTTATATTAATAGTGTTAGGAGAATATAAATAAATATTAAGTACCTACCTACCCACAATACTAATTAAGATTTTTGAATTGATTGAATTTTTGATTGATTTAATTTTTACCTAACACAGAATTACTTAGGATCTTTAGTTTGATTTCAATATGTAGGTACTTAAATAATGAAATACATATGTTTAAAATTTTATCATCATATTATCTGATATCTGCATATATTCTCATAGATTTACTTTTCCCATGTTCAACTTTTGTGTAAGACTTATTTGGTACTAGCATTTCCCGCAGCTCCGCCCGCGTTCACATGACCAAAAACCAAGTTTTTAGGTTTTACATATTAGTACACTCTTACATTGCAGTTTTTTTATTTTTTCTCAGAAATGAGATATTTTCCTGCGGTAAAAGGTATCGTTTATGTTGACCCGGATAGCCAGCTATCACCATACCAAATTTCATCAAAATCCCTCCAGTGGATTTTCTGTGATGTGGTAACAGACAGACAGACAGACAAAAATTCTAAAAACTATAGATTCGGCCCCTGTATCAATAATAATGTCTACTTCAATAAGATTTTCCAAAAAATATTTAATGTACAGATTCGGCTTAGTTACAATTTTATTATATGTATAGATAGACACAAACACATTGTTTGAATTGTTCAATTTCTCTTTAATCTATTTGTAGTCTAGGTACAAAATATAATATAAAACGATTAAAAATTTTAAAACAAGTATTTAATCTTGCACAAAGTGTAAGAAAAAAACAATGCTCACTGATATGCATCACAACAAGAAGCCTCCGCAGAATATTTTTTTTTATGAATGATCACTAATTATAAAAGGGTTTGATATAAATATTTTGGTAGTTTTTTTTTATTTTTCCTTAAAATAATGTTGTAATTTTATCAAAATCCATAGAACATTAATAATATTCGTAGGAGAAAATAAAATCTTGGAAGTATTAAACAACTTTCTTAGTCTTTTTTTTTAAACAAATATATAAACTACGTTAAATAAATCATAATTTCACTAAATATGTGTGTTTGCAACTCAATACTTTACTGCAGTAAGTGCTTTCGCCTGAACGTAATTTTATATAATGTAGGTTTTTAAGTACGTAATATTATCAAATCTATTCATATTCAGAAATTCAATACTAAATAAATAGCTTGGGTTTTCAAATATTTTTTTATTATTTTTGATCCTCATTTCCCATAGAATCCTATTAATAATATATACGTGAGAGGGTGTGAAGAGGTTTGCGATATTAAATGATTATCATGATATGATCTTAAATGATTATGATTATTATTAAAAAAATGAGAGGCAATAGATATATAGTGTATTTATAATTCTTGCCAAATAAAACATTTAAGTAATGCAGTATTCGTTATAAAACAAGTTATTTTTTACAGAGCGAGATATCGATAATAAACAGGTCAGAGAGGATAAAAGAATTGATATAATTAATGTCACTTTGAAACAGGTTCAATGATTAATTAAAACAGCATATTAAAAAAATAAGGTATATATTTAACTAAATTATATATATTATCCTATAAAAGAGGATAGACTAGGAGTTCATTTCTTACAACCTATAAAAGATGCCAGTTATTTTAACTTTTTTGTGACAAATATCAAGAAATTAATAAATAATATTAAAAGAATTCCAATAGGGGAACTTACATCTATACAAATAAATAAAATTGAAGTGTCTGTTTGTATGTCATAATACAAGCTTTTTACTAAATGCATATGAAATTATATAAGGTACTTATAAAAGTCAATTTTTAACGTTTTTGTCTGTTGGTCTGTTTGTTCTAGCTAATCTCTGATACGACTGTACTGATTTTGAAGGGGCTTTCACTGGCAAATAGATGATATAATTGTAAGCAATAACTTTGGCTACTTTAATTTTAGAAAAAGAATTAGTTTCACTCTAAAAAATCGTACCAATGGATGCACAAAAGCAAAGGAGGTTAATTCGTAAGTTTATACTAAAAAAGTATAATGTAAATCGACTCATACTCTGTGAAGATAACGCCTAACTTTACATTTGTATAGGAAAGAGTCACTGACTTTTTTTTTTGTATATTATGGTAAAATTCATTTTGAGTTCTTCCATTTCTTATAGAAGTAGTCAGGGTATATATATAGGCATTATACTGCTGATGATTACTAATCAGTATATTTTCCCTGAAGTAAACATTTAATCCATCTATAAAAAATTTCTTCTATCGAAAAATTCTTGTGTCTCTAATGTAGTATATAATGCCGTTAGGCAATAGACATAATATGTTTATGCTACTTTTTTGGTAGTTTCCAGCAGTTTCTTTACTAATTCAATTTTTCTTTATATTTTTCAAAATCATGGATATTTGTTTTAACCATCTTCACAAATACATTTATTTTAAAAAATTTCATTCATTATTTTGATATGCTCTGATATTTTGTATAATTAGAAAAAATAAAATATTGCAACTAGTGAAATTTACACTAAATAAAAAAATCCTTAATTTTCATTGAGTCTTTCAAATTGTTACTGTAAAAATTGCAAATATTAGTTAACTTTTTTTACTTTTGGTGGTTCAGGGCATTGACACCAAGGTGTTGCAGTCTTATTGCATATTAGCTCTACATTTATTACAGTTATTGGTAAAGTATCTATAATAACATTATGTGTGCTATATATTTTATAAGCAACATCATGTATTCCAGTTACTCTGTCTCGTCTCCGAGTCACTTCTCGTTGGTTATAACATTTTCTCATATCACGCTTTCTATATGTCTTGTCATGTATATGCCTGAAAATAGAATGGAAAGATTGATTTTTAATATTCCTAGTGATTCATATAATAAATTACAACAACAAGAACTAAAATACAGCATTTGTATCAATAAAATAGTTTAAATTGTTTCACTTTTTTTACTGTGTAGATGTTTCGTAAACTAGTAACTTTTATCTTAAGAGGTTTAAATAAGACCTGACTAAATTATTTATGTTAAAATTACTACTATTAAGAACTTATAAGTTTTAAATATTTATAAAGATGATCCTTTCTGTAAAGAAGTATTTATTTGTTTTATAAATGTATATATTACTTACTTAAAAGTATTTTCAGTTCCAGTTGTAATATTCTCAGGCCTTAAAACTTTAACTTGAGCATCCTTAAGTCTCACATAAAATTCATCATCTTCCAACCCCCATCCCCAATAATTATTAGACATCCCCTTGACTAATTCAAAATGCTCCCGTTTAATTAACAATATGCCACCAATAAAAGTATCATAGTGGTACTTTGGGTGTGTTTGAGGTGATGATATATGGAAGGCACCATTCGCAGGATATTTATAACTTAAATTATCATTTAAAGGTAGCAAGTCAACATCATGCATTGCTATATAATCATAATCATGTTTAGTATAAATAAAGCCAACATTTATCAGAGAGGCTCGGTTAAATCTGTTATTGTCTTTCTGTTGTATGATAAATATGTGAAATGGTATCTTTTGTTTGTTCAAAAATTTATACATATGTGGTACAAAATCTAATAATTCATCAAATCTGTCTCTAAATGGTACAAGTATTGCTAATTTTTTCTTGTGTGTTCTTTGAGATGGTAAAATCTGGGGGTCTTTTGATTCTGAAAAAGAAAAGAAAATATAAGTAGTGCTACAATCAAGATTTTTTAAATCAATAGATAGTGATAAGATGGGCGGGAGACAAAATTTAAAGTTGTAAGGTTTTTTTTATTATTTTATTAAATTATATACCTACCTGTCGGTGTAATTGGCAGGGAAGCTAGAAAACATCCCATTATAAACGTAAAGCCTAAACATATTGTGAGACATTTCGAGCCTGTTATTCTGTAACCCATTAAATTAAAACTTTTTCTATACATTAAAATATTAATCACGTATAAGTATTATTAATTACGTTCATTATTCTTCTTAGTAATAACTAACATAATGGATTGGACATTTCACATTTTTTTGGCCAATTTTCATTAGCAGCTGTCAAGTGTCAATATAATTTGACATTGTCATTCGTGAAATTGCCTAGTGATGTGTACGGAAATCGGTTAATAAATAGTTCGATTGTGGTTATGAAATCAGAGTTCCGATTAAAAAATTGATATAGTATGACGTTTTATTTTATAAAATGAAACAATAGATACCTCTTAAAAAATATTTCTTTTCTTTTTTAAATTAAAAATAAATTTTATATTAATGATCTACAGCTAACTTAAACTTTAAACGATGAGTCCCACAAAACCAGGTGGTAACTGGTAGGCATAAATGCATTTCCCAACGTCAAAACAAGGTACTGATTTAGGTTTAGCATTAACGGCATTCAACCACAATAATTTCGACATCGGCGCAAAGCAGATACCTAATAAAATATCACTGTTTTATGTTTAATTCCTTTAGCTACAGAATACTAAATAATTAGAATTTTTACTGTGAAGTATTATTACTCTTACTGCTGTCATTAGTTACGAAAACTTAACAATGACAGGTTGATAATTCCAATTAACACTGCACTGATAAATAATAGTACCTGGGCGACCAAACTTCGCTCGGAGTTCTTTTTTGGTACCTATATCGTATTTTTTAGATGAAAAAAAACTAAAAACTTGAATATATACAAAACAAACAAAAGTAAAAACCTTGTATTCGACCGGGATCCGAACCCGGACACCTGTGATTGTCAATCTTGCGCCTTGGCCACGCGTTTTTCCAGACATAAGACTAATCTAGATCGATTTTTCGCCACCGAAAACCCCCACATACCAAATTTCAGCGAAATCGTTGAAGCTGTTTCCGAGATCACCGATATAAATAAATATATAAGAGTTGCTTGCTTAAATATATTAGATAAAAATTAAAATAAGAATGTGGAGGTAAACAGAACTTAATAAACATGTATAACAAAAAATATTTTAGTAGATTTAAGTTGCCTGCATTTGACACCCGTATTCACTTTGAACGTCAATACATCTCAAACGCATGGCACCAAGTTAGGCAACGCCATCCGAAAAAAGTTTTTTATTTCTTTGCTATTATTTATTAGATAAGTATATTTATTATTATTGAGAAAAACTATATGTATAGGTACGTATTTTATCACCTCTGTGGTATTTCTTTGAAAGAACGAGTCGTAAGTGCGTTGGGTTAATTTAACAATGGTAGGAATTAGATTAACAGGTCATTGTAATGGCCTATTAATAGAAACAAAACAGCGTCAGCTATAGATCTTTCTTTCATGACTTTCAGACGTATATTTTGTGGCGAGCACGTAGAAGGAAGACATTAATTCAGTTTAACCACAATCTGTATTGAGTTAGCCGTTATTAGCTTAAGTTGAATGTGTTTGAATTGCTAATTCATGAACGCATGAATAGTCGCTTTTCACGCTATGTTTTATTAACGGCCTCCAATTATACGTGAATCTTTTAGGTCAGTTTAAACTATTTTTTCATATAATATGTACCTATATTATAGTAAAAGAATATTTTTACAGTCAACTTAGATATGGCATCAAAGTCCGATGTAATAGCTGTATAATATGATTAGAGTACAGGTTCACGTGCTCTCTTAGATGCAAGTGAGGGAGTGTAGGTACCGTTGAGCTGTTACTAAAATAAAATATTTCTGCTTGAGTCATGACCCTGTATTCGATTTCAGGATCCATTTTACAAAACTATATATTAGTGAATTGGTTACTAAACTAACGGATTCCTTTATTACATTTAAAAGATGTGATACAATACACAGCAAATCAATCAGCAAAATGCTCATCATTTTGGTGATTGCGACACGAAATTTTAAACTGCAAATTTTTGAGATTATATTATTTATGCTACTTTCTTTATAAAATAATAATTTAACGTACCTTATACTTAAAATGACTTTTTCTATGAAACTTATAGTCTTTAAACACGATACAAGTTGTACAATGTAGATTTTAACATTCTGAGAGTGTTTAACCTACAGAGTACACTAACCTCATTTACGTAGCTAAATGAGCAGATGGGAGGGACTCTTATAATTTTTTTCTCTCTATTTGTCCATATAAAATTTAGATATTTTTCTAAGCTTGAATTATCAAAATAAAAAAAAACCTTAGTAAATAGGAGTGTCATTTTTTTTTGCAAATTCTATGCAATGAAAAATGTAATGATTGCCAGTTTGAATGAAACCTGAATCAGTCAATATTCATTATATAACCATTTTTCTTAAATGTTACATCTTAAAATAATATTTAGATAACTAATTATAACAAGCAAAATTTTACTTACTTTACGCAATAAACACGTTGGTGAGTTAGTAAAATTAAAAAAAACCGATGTAAACTTTTTACATCCTTTTTTCAATAAAGTTTTAAAGCAAAACCAACGTTCGTTGTTCATTGCACGAAATCTCAACAATAAATTCCGTTTAACGCAGAACACAAGTTTAATTAATTACTCAGGGTTTTTATACTGGGATAATTACATGTTGCGTTTAAAACTTGTAAGTTAAGGCGAGTAGGTATACGAATATAAAAGACTAGCATTGCCCGCGTCTCCGCCCGCGTTCAGATGACCAAAAAGCAAATTCGTAGGTTTTACATAATATTAGTATACTCTTACAATGCAGTTTTTGTATTTTTTCTCAGGAATGAGATATTTTCCCGCGGTAAAAAGTACCTACCCTATATGTTGACCCGGATAAGCAGCTATCACCATACTAAATTTCATCAAAATCCCTCCAGTGGTTTTTCTGTGATGCGGTAACAGACAGACAAAAATTCTAAAAACTATAGATTTGGCCTCTGTATCGATAATAATGTTTATTTCAATAAGATTTTCCAAAAAAATATTTAATGTACAGATTCGGCTTAGTTACAATTTTATTATATGTGTAGATTAGTATTTTTAGGGTTCCGTATTTGAAGGTTTTAAACGAGACCCGACGCTTGGACTTAGTATACTCAGCCATGGGCCCGGGGAGGTGCAAGGGGTTGCATTTGCACCCCTCTGCCATGAAGGAAAATATATAATAAAAAGTTAAAGAAATAATATTGTATTAGTAAAATCGCGGTTTAAATTTAAATATCTGCAAAAACAGGTAATAAATAAGGTAAGAATATAAATTATAAAGTTAATCATTTAAAGATTAGTTAGTATCTTAACGTTAAGAAGCAGATGCACCCCCCTAATACACTGCCCACAATTCTGCCTCCGCCCGTGTCACTCAGCTAATATCTATCTGTCCATATAAAGCAGTGATTTACCTAAATCTTTACATGAAATGTATTGTAACGATCAACTTGAAGAAGATTTTGTAAAATATACAAAAAATATGGTAGAGTAAAAGTTTCAAACTAGAAGTAATTAAAATGCCAACTTTAATTTCTTAAGTATACCTACCAAATAACTATTACTTATAATAAAAAAGGTAAGTCAGATTCATGCTGTGGGTTTTAACTGCTATAAAAACCAATTTTATTGGTAAATGCGTAATAGCAATATAGGTACTGCTCGGTGATACGGCGGAACTTTTGTTTTATGAGGCTGATTCGCACTTGACTGATTTCTTTAATATAAATTCATAATTTAATCGTAAGTACGAGAAATTTACATATACATAAATAGTAAAAGCATATAATATATACTTTAAGTACTTAAGAGGTGATCACATTATGACATCAAAATCTGTTTTCCTTTCATCAGATATCGAAAAACTGCTTTATGGTAACTAACTAATTTACCAATTTTTTTATAATGGAAATTTGAAACTTCGTTATACATTTAGAGCGTGAAGGAGGAAAAACTAACAAATACATAAACATACATACAAACTATTATATCGCATTTACGTATAATCGTAGTTTGATTTGCTAGCAAGAATAGAATCGGCGACCTTGAGTGCTTTATGTAAAGTTTTTTTTAAATTAAATAATATCAGATTAAGATCTAAATTAATTGGCATTATTAATTTAAAAAAAACAGTTCCACTCCGTATTATTTTAAAATCGTACAAGGAAGATAAGTCCACTAAAACTACTTTCAGTTGAGTTACGTCTCAGTTAAACGTAATTAGGAATAAGTAGTCAAAACTCTCGTTATGGCGTTGTGTATTTATTTTTTAACAATAATTAACGGTTTCGCTCCGCGGTAGTAATTAAAGAAATTAACAAACAAGGGCTTTGGAGTCTTTTATTTATAGTTCCCTCCGGGCATAGAAATATAATATGGACTGCGCGTTATGTAGAGCCGAGTGGAATATTTAGGAGGACTTATTGATGTTATTAATTAAAATAACATAATTTATAATTTAATATACTTAATATAAATCAACCTCAATGATTTTATTACTTACCTTCATAAGTTATATAATTTTTATATTATATAAAAAAATATGTAAGTACAGTCGAATTGAGAACCTTCTATATTTGAAGTCCGTTAATAATTAAAAAAAAACAAAATAAAGTATAAAAAAACCTTTAAAACATTGTTTATTTTTTTATCTATATTATTTTATAAAAAGGTATATTGCCTTTTTGTCCTGTATTTGTCAACCGATATTTTTTTGTTTAGTAGTTATGACAACAAGCTTAGTGTTATAAATAAAAAAAAATTGTTGAATTTTGATTATAGACACTAGTTAAAATAAATAGTTATATGGAGATTTCGTAGTCCACGCTACACGAACTGTGGCTTCAGGGTACAACAATTTTAATGAGTAGCGCGTATCTACATCAGGACGAATGAATGGGTGCAATTAAAGCATTTGTAATCATAAAACTGGTGATAATCTCTTCTATTTGTTA